GTACACGTCCACCTTGTTTTGTCGACTACATCGAGGGTGTGACCGAACGGTGGCGAGCTGCCCTGCTGTTTGACACGCACATCACATGCAATAGCACGAGAGAAACACGAAGTTTTCTGAAGGTCGCGATTCATCGTTCTGTGCAATAGTCGGTGACCTCTACAGGTGGTGCGAGCTGACCGCAACAAGAGTCCAGTTGATGTTTTTTTGCTTGTTCCATCCTAGTAGTACATCAAGCAGCGGCAACGGATGAAGACGAAGTGAACGCTTGTGTTTGAGAGTGGTGCTGAGGTCAGTAATGTTCAAAGTACGTGTCAAAGTCAATATTATTCTAGAACTTGTTGTGGTCGCATGATTTACCACCTAATATAGAGGAAACAACTACCACTACGTGGTCCAGACATCATACACCAAGAACTACTACACGTATCTAGTACATTAAGCCGATTTTTTGACCACAGAAAAGAAAGGATGGACGCGAACTACTTGCTGCAGTCTGCTCAGGAGAGCGGGCAGGAGGTCGTGGAGCCAGTCTCCGTGTGGGGAGGCCGCATGTCTGCCGGTGCCGTGTCCTTCTTCTCAGCTGAGGACAAGAGCGCCTTCAGCGTCGCTGAAGTCACTGGATACTTCTCGGAGGCCATGAAACTCGCTGATCCAGCAAACTTGAAAAGCGGTGCACTCATTATACTGATTGTTGCTTTTTCTTTGTCTTATAAAATATATATATTTTACTCTTGCCTCTCTGGTGTGGTCTCCATGATTCATTTCTATTTGATTTCTTAATATTATCGAATATAATTTCCTCATGATACTGTTGTTATCGAATATGGTTTCACAGTGTCCGTGACTCAAATCATGGGGAAATAGATGGTTCGATTTCCGTTTCTCAGCATGATGGCTCAACATGGTGCCCGAAAGAACCACAGGTCTCTCTTCTATGCACTCGATTGTTCGAGGTTGTTTGACATTCTACGGCGCACTCGCAACAGCGGAAAATACATCACATTTGGCTGAACTTATGAAGTTCCGGGATACGCAAATGTGCGACAAAGCAGCCAGCTTGCTTTCGGGTGTTATGTGCAGGTACGATGCACCCCACCTTTACGTTTACGTCAGTTGTATTTGTAAGATGAGCTTGTCTACTTTATTTCTAATGCGAAACTCGTGTAACAGCTGTAGTACTAGAGACACGAGTAAGAACTACTAGTAGGAGAAGACGAAGCAGGATAGATTCACCTCAAGGTTGGTATGTTAAGGTTGTTCGTCTTCTCACTGTCTCTGCAAAACCGCAGTTCTTGTAAATATATAATACGAGACTGCGACGTCACGAGCACGACTGACAGGTACCCAAACAAGTTTGCATTTGCGCAAGTAAGAGCGTGTGCTGAATACAATGGTACAGAGGGTGGAAAACTCGACGTATTGGCGAACTTGCTGAAGTGCGCTGACTGGAGGGGAGACCTCTTCGCCATGCACCAGATGCGCATTATGAGTGGCTTGAGCAGTAGCGCCGTGCCAACTCTCTACAAATCTCTCATGTGCGTATGGCTCGCAAGCTTCGATAAAGCAAGTACAAAAATTTCTTGTTCTTATTAATTTACCTCTTGTGAACCTGAATCCGTAGTGTGTGGCGTTAATAGTTCGTTGTGTTCGAGCAGTTTCATATTCACACTCTTCTTGTAGATGAAGCTTCATCTTTTTAGAAGCGACGCTGCAGGAACACCTAGATATTGCGCAGCATCTTCAATATGGAAATTATCCTACCGGCAAAAATATCAATGCCTCCTCTCAGGTGTCGCCGTGCCAGTATCTGTAATTGGCAGTATCAACGATATTTTGAAGACCGTCCGAACTGAGAAGGTCGTTAGGATTGCGCTGATGGCGATTGAAAATCTGCTCGCAAGAAAGGCCATGTGCGAAGGTATCATCTAAGTACTTACCTGGTGGTATTGTCTTCTATACTCCGGCTACAACTGGATGATTGAAATAGATGCAGGCTGATAACATGACTTCGCCCGCCGAGTATCTTTTACTGTAAATACCTGTTCCTTCTGCATTATTTTTGGACCTTCATCGCGACCACCTTCAGAAATGGCCGAGCAAGAGACTATGACGCTCGTCTCTGCTCTGGAGTATGAGAAGTGGAGGGACGCGGAGCTCATCGAGCTTATCAAGAAACTTATCTCAGCCTTGCAGGTCGAAGTGAAGATGCTGACCAACTTCGAACGCTTTGAGCGCGAGGTCGTTGGTGGAAAGCTCAAATGGGGTTTCATCCATTCTGAGAAGTTCTGGCTGGAGAATGTATCGTCTTTTTTCTCCGTCCATTTGATGTATGAGATGAATGGCATTCTTGACATCGACAATGAATAATAATCAAGAAGTTCTAATTTTCGGATCATCCATGTTGCTGTTGGCATTAAAAGCGCAGAGTTTTGTAGCACTAATGCGAGTTCCTAAAAATCTTCTACACATCAGTAAATGACATCAACATTTCAGGTTTTATCAAGTTCAACAGACAGTAACACTCCATCTTCATCCTCATCATCAAGGTCCTCAAGTGCGAAGCAAACAATTTCCGAGTCATTGATTTGTTAATGGTTATCGTCAGAAGTAGCAAGGACCCAGAGAGCCTCGCAGTTGCGTGCCACGATCTAGGAGAATTCGCACGACTTCACCCTGTCGGTATTTTACTAAGTAAATGCTGTGCCACTTGTTTTAATAGATGTAGATATTGTTTCTGCTCAGAATCTTCGTGATTCGGAACGCTTTCTTTGTGTTCGAGGGGAAAAGTGATAATTCAACACAACGTTGTCATCATTTTGATGATAGTGACAACATTTCTACCAAATAAATCGAAGGTAAGCACATCGCTACTACACGAGGAGCCAAGGACAAAATGCTTGAACTGATGGGCAATGGACAGCGAGAGGTAGCCCGCGAGGCGCTCCTGTGCGTGCAGAAACTTATGCTGCAGGGATCCGGTCTCAGCGCTATCACTGCGCAATAAGTGGTAGACCGGTCGCACTCGGCGCCGGCGCGCACTGCAGATCATAAGGCCTCGACATATTTTTTTTCAGATCACGAGTGGCAGCGGCGGTTCAGCAAAAGCAATATTTTTCTTCCCGATTTTTCTTCATCAGCATCGCGTACCTTTCTATTCCAGTATCGTAAACATTAACATTCACAGCGTATATACAAATATCAAACAAGTAAGAGATTCAACATTAGGCCGTTAGTCGTGTATGTCGTGAAGATTTGTCGCATTCAGGCACGCTGTGGCTGCACTCTTGGTTGATTCAACTGATTTTTAGGATCACTTTACTACCTACGGAATTTTAGACTATGACTACATCAATGTCTTCGTAGTAATAAAAGCAAATCATCTTCAAATTATACAACGACGTTTAGGCAGGATGAAAACATCATGTAGTTGTGGATGATTGTCAAGATGATAGTCTTCGCTGGTCCTTTACTTGCGTCCTTCGGAGAAGAAACGGAGCCAAGGATGGCTATTATCTTGCTTTTGCCACAGCTTTATGCTGGATCTGCGTCGATGAACTTTTGACGTAGCGAATGGGTTCTTATACTTATTGGCGATCTTCTTGAGATAGATTCCTGAGCCAGTGGTCCTCGCCGCCCGCACGACGTTCTTGGAAATGAGAAATCCTTTAGAAATCAGCTGCAGCGGGAATGAAGGAATATGATCGTGTGTAGATGATATCAAAGCTGATAGTGCGTTCACGAAAACGACCGGCGGTTGCTGGCTTGTTTTCAGATTTTGGACATAACACGTTGTACATAACAACTTCTGGGAGATAAACAACGCTACGAGACGGCGATTGTTCAAAGTCAACATAAGAATTCAAAAAGCCGACAATGAGGTTCTTGAAAGACTGGAGAAAACCTCAGAGTGAGAAGAAGATCTTCATCCTCCTCCTCTGTTCATGTTCCGTCTTTTTGTCACGTTTTCATGCTCTTCATCTGCAAAAAAAGATTTCTAAACTCTCTAAAACGGTTGTAGACGCAATAATTGTGGTTCTGCAGCAGCTTGGAGTTGGATCAACAAGTTGTTGTACTTGATCTTGGTCGCCGGTTGATCCTGATGTCTACAGGCAGATCCCCCACCACAATTACCGTTGGCCACAATTGTTCCGTACATCATTCCAAGACAATGTATACGACGAAAACGAAAATTGTTCTCCTTTATCTAGAAATGTTTGCCCGGTAGTCGTAAGAACTGTCGCAGCATGCACAGCGGCATCAATTGGCGCACTTTTTATCTTCTGGTCTTCTACGCTATAATAATGTTCTTCCCGCCATTGATTCCATTCGAAATGCTCCTACCTTTTTCGACAAGCACAAGTGTAAGCGCAAAATCAAAGTCAACTCTAGTAGGATCAGTATCGTTCATCTTGTATAGAGGCATTACGATTCTCATGCCTGACATTATAGCGACGCAGCGACTTCATTTTTAACTTTTTTCACCCGCATTTTTATGAAGATGGCATCTGTGGTCGTTGGTAAGCAAGTAGCGACATAACTTGAAAGGCATATTTAGTCATTGACTGATGTTCTTGGTGATTTTATGATTGATACCACTCGTGATTCCCCTTCCTGTTAGCAGCTCTTCCAACGACGCACGTTTTTCACGAAGCCGTTCGTCCTTCTCGTGCTTTGCGGACGAAAGGGGCTCAGCACTCGGCATTAGTTTGCTGTCGAGAAAAAGGAAAAACATGGGGGACGTTCTAAAATTCAGTGATATCCGTGCTGCTGGCGGAGAACTTGGTTTATTCCGTCTCAACCCAGAGCAATGTGGTTGGAAGAACTCCCAGACGGCAAAGGTGTTGACCAATATATAAAAATAAATATGAAAAATCTATTAGCTTTCTTTGATAAGGTTGAGCACAAAATTTTTATGGAAAGAACATGACTCGTTCATCTACGTGAATGCAAGATTCTCATTATGATTGCCATACTTAAAAATGAGGATCAACATACTATGACTTGCTGTCTTTGTCACGAGACCTAAACTTCAACTCGTCCCATCGACCAGGACCGTCGTAATCTCAGGTACAAAGTTTCTTTTTCAAGGACCTGGTCGCAAAGCCTGAGGTGACACAGATCGGCGCGAAGTCGTTCAGTTTCAAGGCTGTGACGCATAAAAAGGTTTTTCGCTTTGACGGCTTCAGCAAAGATCATATACTGCAATTGGAGAAGCTGATTTCCGCTCATGTGCTACACAAAGACAAAGTAGAGACTGCAGCGCCGCTCTGCGCACCCGCAGTGCTGGCTGCACACGCTGAAGCCGAGAAACAAAATACTAGCAGCAAAGGGGAAGGTGGTGCTTCGTCTTCTTCGTCTTCCTCGACAGCAAATACTTCCGCGAAAGTGAATGGCTTGACCAACCGCGTGTTGGGCGTTCGAGGATGGAACTGGGGAGAATTAGAACTGATCGGCGACCAAGACTACTGCATGCGCAACGAGAGGAACGAGCATGTGTTGGATTTTAGGTCGCGCGACGTTATGCAGGTGACGAATCCGACTAGGAATGAGGTGCACGTGGAACTAGCGGACCCATTTGAAGCGGCTGAGAACGCCGCTGACTCCGGGAGTGGAAACCCAGAACTTGCTGGTGAAATGCTCACCGAAATCCGGTTTTTCGTCGAACCCAACAACCACAATTACCTCCTCGGTGGCGGCAGCAGCGGTGCCACTGCTGGCGGATCAACATCTTCCTCGTCTTCCTCAGCTCCTGCTGCGGCTAATCTCACGAACGCCGAGCAATTGCGCACCGACATGATGGGTCGCTTAGATCTGGGCAGTGACGTTGCCGACAGCTTGTGCGAGGTCCAGGACCTCAAATGGGCAGTTCCCTCGCTTCGCGGCAGCTTGCGGTTCCACAGCGGACATTTTTCTCTACACGGGAAGTCCTCAGATTTCGTCGTCCGATACGCGCAGCTTACGCGCGTCTTCCTCTTGTCTGGTCTCGCAAACGACATGCACATCGTGCTGCAGTTAAGCAGTCCCCTGAGGCACGGTTCACAGGAACACTGGTTCCTGTGCATGAGCGGAGACGCACTAAGGTTGCCAGTACCACCAGATCTCGAAATTCGAAAGGTCAAACAAGAAGAACTGGCCAAGCTGGAGCTCCTACCACACCAGCGCAGCGTGCTCTACGACTTCATCGTCCGCGTTTTCCGCCTTTTGTTATGGCGCATTGAAGCAATAATTGAGTAAAAACTAGGTAGCTAGACCTAGTAGAGGTAGAGCTAGACCTAGGAGAAAGATTGAATGTGGACAGGGGCACGATCATCAACATGATGAAGCACTGTCACTAGTAACTTGTACCTGCCAGAAGTATTTCTTCCACGACACATAGTTTTTTAGAGACGAATACTTGTAGTTCATTTTCCTCTACCCTTTACTTTTGTGTGTTGACAGAGTGAATTTCTACTTATTTTAATACCTTCTTCCTCTTTGGTCTTGTTAGATTCTCATCCGCTTTCATTTTCCACAGACGTGCAGGTGAGCAGTATGCATGACACCTTCCGCAGTGCTCGTGGCGGCAAATGCTTGCAATGCAACTACAAAAACCAGAACGGCATGCTCTTTCCGCTCAAAAAGGCTTTGCTCTTCATTCATAAGCCTGTAACGCATGTACCATACGCAAAGATCGTCATGGTTCAAGTGCAGAGAGGCACAGAGGTCACCAGTGCGAATCGCTACTTCGACCTTTCCGTGATAACGAAAGAGTTCACTTACGAATTCAGGCAGGTACATTATGAAGCTAGTATAAAAAAATGTACCTGGCTCTTTGATATGAAGTTGCAGAAGATAGTTGTACTTGCACTTGTAGTACTTGTTTTACTCTTGCTATGTATAAGTAAAACACGACACCTAATCACAAATCAGGTCGCTAAAGAAGAGCTGAAGCCTCTACTTGCGGTGTTGGCTGAACGTGGTGTACAGGTACCTAAGTTGGAGGAGCGCGGTCGGACGCAGGCCATATCACAGGCTGCCGCAGAGGAAGACGAAGAGGATTCGGAATTTGTACCTGGTGGTGACGACTCAGACATAGAAATGAGGTCTGAAGATGAAGATTACGAAGAAGAACCCGACGAGCAAGACGCAAAAAGGCATAGGAACAGATGACCTGGTGAAGGCATACTTCACTCTACTAGGTCGTTTCATCCTTGTGTAGCACTTCTTCATCTGCCGAATTTACACGCCGAACATCTACTTTGAATATCGTCAACGAAGCGAGCCTGGGAATTCATCAACTCCAAGAGAAATGTGGAATGCGCGTACACCGGACCCATTTATCTCCATATCCTTTTGCTCCCCGTACTAGAAAACTAGAAGCTGTCGCTTGGTGCTTCGAACGTTGTCACAGTTACAAAAATGTACGACGCGAAACCGCAAAATAGAAGTTGTTCCTTCTATACTCGTGTGATAATGCACATTCTGATTTGTGGTGTCTTCGCTAATTGATTGGCTCAGTGGAACTGATCTGTTGACATGTGCGTATCGAGTGAAGATATGGTTTTTATTTGTTGCCGAGGACGCAAGTTTCCTACATCGACATCGATCTGAGTGATCTCCTCGCCCTTTCGTTGCCGTTGAAGTCCTCGATTTGATGTATGCACCCACATCGGTTTCATTCTGCAAGAAGAAGACTCCTTCCTCTGCCTCTCTGAAAACATCGAAAAGTAGTCTATATGTGATTAATTTAGGGTAAGCACTACAGCTATGGCTCAATCATATTGTGTGTGTCTCACAAGTAAATGAACTTTTACCACTAATTATATGCTAGAACCAACTAGGCTCAAGCTGCTCATCATCAATTTCATCCTTCTTCTACACAGCAAAAAATTGGAATACAAGTACCTAGAGGTTGTATTCTGAACCTACTTTGAGTTAGACATCATCGACATTGCGTCAAGAGAAGTAGAAGAAGAAGTATGACGACCGGGTCTGCAGGGGGCTCCGGTCCCTCGAAGCCGAAGAGCTTCTTCCGAACGACAGGGCAAGAGATCGGTGCAGGCGTCAAAGTGCAGATAAAAAACAAGAAGGATCTGTTGGGCGCAGAGGAGGTAATCAGACGAACTGATGACCTAAGGAAGCCAGTAAAACCCGAAGTCGCTGACACGGACTTTATCATGACAAACACGATAAAAAAAGAGACGGAAACTATCATGGCAGAGCGAGTATTCTTGAAGATCACTACTATTTTTCCGCCTTTGATGAAGAAGATGATCATGAAAACACCAATATCCTCTAAGTCGTGACTTGTTTATCTTTTTCTAAGAGTAACTCCTAATAAGTCATCGACTTCATAGTATACGACCCGTTTCTTTTCCCACGACCATCGGAAAGCGAACACGACACCGAGACTTACACATTCTAGTTCAAATGTACTTTAAGAATAGGTGATGGATATCCATGGGGTGCCAATGCTAATGCATCAAATCATAACAGGTTTTATCTGCACACGTTTTACCCAAGAAATTTCCAGTTGATCCAGACAGGATGATCTATCCGGAACGAGGGAACGTGAACCCGCTCTACGCTACTACAAACAGCATCTATGGTTAAGGCACGACACTTCCAATTTGATTTTTTGGAGATGGATCAGTGGAAATTCCCTTACTAGCGTTTTTTTAGTTTTTACCTTGTTACTACAACTACTAGTTACTGCTGGCTCGACGTCTCACCAGGCAGTGGTAGTGCTAGTAGTAGTAATCAGACTCTTCAATATCAATACTTCTCAATACACTGTTGTTGATCTTGTTGAGGGTGATGCCCGCCAGCAGCATCATACATCTTCATCTTTAGACCATTGAAACAAGTAGTCCTTGTACTACTTTTACTCCATCACGAACTACGTCTTCTAATACCCGAACGAGAAGCCAAGAGGACATCAGGTGGCAGATGCGTTTTTTCCAAAGAGCAACAAGTTTTCGCACAGTTTTACGGATAGTAAGCCTCGAAACTGCGGTCTCAACTGCGCGAAGGATGAGGAGGTATACAGGAGCAACGGACTCTAGAGATCTTGGGGAATTTGGAGGAAACTTCGTAACTGTTACACACAGGTCGTGTAAGTAGGATGATCTCTTTTCGTCCACCTAGGTTGTCGTGTCGTCATATTTATTCCATCTCAAACGAATAAAATCAATGATGCTTAACTAGAAATTAGTGGTCTTTCATCTCAAGAAATCCAATTATTAACCTACCTATTCGCGCAAACAAGATACTACAGATACGATGGAACTACTAGTAGGTGCAGGATGTACTAATACTAAAGATTCAGTGAACAAGTAGTTTTGATATCCTCGAGCAGAGGTCGGTTCTTGATGTCTTCGTAAACATCAATATTATTGACGTCTGTTCTATTCGAAATTTAGTTTTGATATCACAGAGAAATGGACTTGAGTTTACAATTACATGTATGGTTGCTTGAAAAATCGCAGATTTGAGGGGGGCAGGAAGTTGTTGTATTCATATTGCCAAGAACCAAAGGATAAGTATTTAACAAGACGGATGTCGAATGTACTGAAAAACTCAAATCATAACTGTACCTACGACTACAACTACAACTAGCGGTGCGTCGAAGCAGTGACGAAGCTAATGTTGTGTTAGAACAACAACAGAGACTGCCCACGTCGAAAAAGCATAGATTGAGGAAATAGATGATAGAGGAGACAGCTGCTGCTCAAACGTCAGGAAAAACAACCTCCACCGCTGCAATATCATGACTTCGAAAAGGGGCGTGGTGACACAGTTAGTTACGAATAAGTGCGCCTGAGCCCGCCCAAAGAGAGATCAAAAGTAAAAGTTTTCTCAAAAATCAGCGATATGACTATAAGGTTTTTCTGAAAGAGACTTCCAAATAGATCTCCTGTTGACAGAGACGAGCAATAGAGAAGATCAAGATTTCTGTAAGGTAAGAGCACAACAGAAAAAATTGCCGCCAGCCACACACTCTCACTCACAACAACAACTTTACGTTATGTAAATGTAGCGTTATGCACCAGGATCAGGATGGGCCAAAGCTCTAGTTCTTTCCTTTTGCCGCAAGGAGTGGAGGGCGTGTGTTGTGGCACTTCGACGGATCATGCGAACAGTTTGTTGCGAAGAGATGAATTCGACTACCGTAGGCAAAAGCGGCAAGCTGCACGCAACAAAAATTACGAACTTCCTCTGGACGGCCGGTTCTCCTTGTGCACTTTCCGCAGCAAGCTCGTTTTCCCATTCCGAAGCGACGTGTTTGTGAGGTTGTATGATGACTACAACAACAACGAAAACTATTTGGTAAACTTTTCATCGACACCTACATCAAGAACAACAATATCTGCTGCACTAGGACGACCTCCGACGCCGCTCGAAGAGCGATACTCGCTGGCGAAGGAAGTGGGCAGAGGTAGTTTTGGTGTCGTTTACGAAGCCAAACGGAAAGCGGGGGCCACAGCGACGTCAGTGGTTGAGGACTTAAGCAGTGGTCCTGGTGGGCGACCAACAAGTTCAAATTATGCAGGTGGAACCCAAAGTACAATTCGCGTTGCTGTCAAAAGCTGGATGCTGTCCCAGAACAAAGAGCCACTGAAAACAAGAACTTCTACAGGCGCAACTTCATCTGGCGTTGTGTCCACAAGCACAACGAAAACGACCTACAACAAGAACAATGAACATTACCCTGTGCTGAATGATCGAGTAGCTTACGAAAATTTCTGCCGGGAACGGGACATATTAACGCAGCTAGACCATCCACATATCATCAAGATTTTTGAGGCACACGAAGATATAAACGGCTTGCACTTGGTGCTAGAGCTCTGTCGCGGAGGTGAGCTGTACCGCTACGTAGCATCGCACGCCCTGCACGGCACCCACGTACTGCCATCATGTACTGAACTTCTTAATGCTTGTAGTTGCCGCCATCTAGTACTAGAAGTGGACTTAGTCCAACTAGTCGCTGATAATGATTCTGTGCTTGAATGTTCAAGGCTCCTCGTTTGCTTGTGCTGCAACACGAGTTTGCTGCGTATCTGACCACGACAAGAATGAGACATTCGTATGTTTGGAGTCAGTTCGATACGGTCGTAGGTGGTGAGAAGTCATGGCGCAGTAGATCTACTTATGAAAATCGATAGGCTTCTGTACTACCTGTTCATCTTTCATGTTCATCAAGGTACCCGAAGGAGAATGCCAGGAGTATTTACTGCAAATGGTCCGCGGCATCGGTTACCTACACGCACAAGGTATCGTCCATAGGGACGTGAAGACAGAGAACTGGCTTTTTCTTTACCCTCCAGACTACCAGGCTTCTAACACAGGAGATGTTAACCTCCGCTCGTCTTCGAAAGAGACTACTAGCAGTAGCAGTACAAGGCAGTCGTCAATACCTGGTGCTGGCAGAGGAAGGGAGTCGTCTTTGGGATCGAAGCGCGGTCGTGGACGTCCTGTATCGTCCGGTGGTGGCGGAACAGATACTACACGACCAGGTGGGCCAAAAAAATCGTTCTACAACGTTCTGAAGCTGTGCGACTTCGGTACGGCGATCCTAGAGCGGGAGTCGCCAGCTCACGCGCGTGTAGGAACCCTGAGCTACACATCCCCAGAAGTTTACAACGGCCAGCCAGCAAGGATAGCATCAGATATGTGGTCACTTGGCGTGTGCTTCTACGTTATGCTTTCTGGACAAAGCCCCTTTCGTCGCCGCAACGACCCCAAGCAGCATCCTGGTCGCTTCACTGAAACATCATCATCTTCTTAAGGGATTAGGTTATTACATACGGCCTTGTTGTGTGAGAGTTAGTGTGAAGTGTTCCAGACATGACGGGTCTCCTCAAACACAGGACCCTTAAGTACCCCGACCTCCCGTTCCTCTAATAGACCGAAGATGCAGAAGGATTTCGAAAACCGATATCCAGAAGGTCGAAAAGGAAGAATCCGGGTCCTCGCGAGGTGAGGGAGACGGTACAGAGAGTTTGTCGAGGCGAGTACGACACTGCGAGCATAGCCCACGTTTCTGCAAATACAGTAAACGTTGTCTCCCGACTGCTTCAGGTGAATGTGGAACGTCGTTTAAGCGCGAAGCTGCTACTACGAGATCCTTGGATATTAAGGCTCACGATCGTATGCGTATGTGAAGAGGTAGAATCAATGGATGCAATGGATTAATTTATTGTCTAGTTCATCTGGACATCTCTCCACTTCTTGAGATGTAAACATAATCCGCAGTAGATGTTGAGGCGTGAGGACCACAACAAGTTGGACAAGTATTTCAGACTGATTGTCGTTCTCTAGAAAGGATTTGTGAAAGTGCTCTTCTAACTACGAACACGTCAAGTTTCTCAGCAGCTACAGGAGGTAGCTCTTCAGACGCGACCGCCACGGCAAAGGATCCAGACGACACTGATTCATCCCATGCTTCCCTGAGTGACCTTATGCGTACTCACTTTGGGTGGACCGATACGGAAGGTGAGGCTGGTGTTGGAGGCAATGCAGTTGCAGGCTACCAACGTGATTCTGTCTCCGCAGACGGCGGATTGTGGTCCTCAAGGACGCGCGCGAGCGGGTCTTCGTCGGCTCGCTCTGTCGATATTGACAAGCAGTTGGAAACTACTAGATCCTCAAAGTCGGGGCACAGCAGCACTGCACTAGAACAATTCACTAATAGTAGAGCAGCACGAGGAGGGGAGCGGGAGCCGAAAAGTGTTGCCACAAGAAGAGTGGCTACAATTGCAGAAGCACGGGACTATTTGCCGATAATTTTACAACTGCTCATCGCGTTTGGACAGTGCAACGAGCTGCAGCGTATGGCGCTCGTTGCCGCTGCGAAAACCAGTGGGGATGATTTACTCCCGTTGGAAGTAGATAAGGCGACGCGCCGCCAGGCAGGTGGACGAGGTAGTAAACTACAAGGCATCAAGAGTAGCAGCAGCAGGCCGCTTGAAGGTAGCAGTGCAGAGGAACATGAGCAAAAGCATCAGACACAAAATACAACAACTTCTGTAGAGGATCATAATTTGTCGCGTAAAACTAAAAGCAATTATGACAGAGGACTGGCACCACTGCCTTGGTATTCGCTGTTCATGCTGTTCGATGACAGAATGACGGGACACATCGACGTTGAGGAGCTAGTTGCCAAGTTGATCCGTCTCATAGAATACGACTCCGGACGAGGGACATCCCCTATCGCAGCGTCGCGTAGGGAGCGTGGCCCCCTCTTACCGGGCGCTCGTTCTTCGCCTGCAAAGGTGGAAGGGTCGGTCTCTCCATCAAGAGCATCGTCAGCATCACCTGATCTAAAAGTGCGTCGGAGTACGAATAGCAGTAAGAGCGTGTTTCCATCAACATCTTCCAGCATCAATAAAGTGCTCACCAACTCTGCCCGATTACAACAGGAGCAAGAGCTAAAGAGGATAGTCTCCGCGTTGGACACGAACGGTTCCGGTTCTATCGATTGGAGCGAGTGGCGAGCCCTCGAACGGCTCGCAGTGTGGATGCGAGCTACGCCTACGACAGCGTCACAGGAAGAAGATAATTTATTTTTTAGCTTCAAGAAAAGCGCTCAGAATCCACAGAAAAGGAACTCTGTGGTTGAAGTAGCGTCGTTTCTTCGACTTCACGAACCCGCATTTCTTAAGAAAACCATGTCTGTGGCTGTGCTCAACTCTGTACATGCTGCTTCTCCAGTGCGCTTCTGCTGATGGACACAAGCACTATCCTATCCTACAGTGTAGAAGAACAGAAAGATTCCATTTTTTCCTACAGCTACACCCAAATAATACTAAGTAGACCCATATCGGTACTACCTCCCTTTCTAATGCTGACAGCCTGGCCGCAATATTCCGATCCTCGGAAGCCCTAGAGGGGACGGTACTGCTTCAAGACGTCGACGAGATTGAGAGTGTCTGCAAGTTGATGGACCATGTGCAGATAATACCTACGGAAACAGATGACTCCCGCGCAGGAGAGTACGAAGACGATAACATTACTAGTTGTCCCGCAATAAAACTCATTCGTGGTAGCTTATCGCCTGGCGGCGGTGGAGCGTTTTTCCTTCCTGACGGCAGAGAAGAAGATCACTCAGGAGCCGAAGTAGAGAATTCAGTAACGCTATATGAAGACTCTGGTAGTGGGTCCTTAATGATAAAAACGACGACATCAAACAATTCGCCCGGAGTTCTTGGTGCTGTTGCTGCACCAGCAGCAGGTGTGATGCGGATAGTGGATGAGGAGGTAGATCCTCTTGCATCCGTCAACGGAGAACACGTTCCTTCGCCGAGCAGAAGATGCACTTCGCTAGTGCTATCGCCACAAAAACGTGAAAAATATCCATCTAGTTCTCGCACCAAAAACACAGCACCAGCTTTTCGTTTGCAGCTGCCGACACGAATGAATGGCCTCTTTGCCGATTCTGGCTTGCCGTTTTCGTGGCAGCATTTTCAGAAGTCTCTTCTCGAAATCCATGCCCATGCGCAACCTCAAATGAGGAAGTCCAGGTAACGACGAATGTTGACGTTTTCGATCACGGGATTGGGCTACTATTTAATTTTGCCTAGGCATATGAGTACTTAATATAGGAAATATAATGGAAGATTCCTAAGCGCACAGGAGTTTTTGCCTGAATGATTACTTGAAAATGTCAAAAAACGCGATTACTCGTTTCAAAATTTTTCAGAACTACAGAATGCAGACTGAGTACAGCGTTTCCTGATTTGATTGTACATGTGGAAGGGTATCGCTCTTTTGGATACTATTGTTTTCACTTGTTCATAATCATAATTTGTACTTGTTGTAAGACTAAATAAATGAACATGAGATTGGAGAAGGCATGTTACTGAGAAGCAGGAAAAAAGAAGAACTGATTATAAATATGTTGTGTTCATCTTGCTGTAAACGTAAGAAAGATTCAGTTTCAGTACAATAGACCGAGAGAGCAAATTGAAATTGCAGTAATGTGAGAGAATAAAAGCGAGTGGTACAAACAACAGCATTTGATATGTGTGACAAGTAGCAGATATTGACCAACGAGTCGGAGGAAGATGGAAGCAAGGTTGTTCAGAAAGAACTCTCGAGAGAAAGTGAACCACTTGAGGTTGCGAACAAACGCTTTTTTTGGCAACGAGAGCAAGGAACTACGAGATGAGGTAGAGAGGTATGGCATGCAGCTACTCTTCGGATATAATAAACGACGCTTTTCCTCGTACAATGATTAAAACCAAATTGTATGCAAACAGGAGAGATTTATCGACCCTAGTTCTTGAAAGGGTCGGAGATATTTTAGAGAGAGAAAATTTCGTCTATCTTTTATATGCTAGATGTTAGTTGATGTTGATCTTGATTTCATTTGGGTTTCTAGCTCTAGGAAGGCAGTGAAGGCGTTTTTTTTTAGCTGTTTGTTGATCATCTCATCTATGAATGTATACGCGTAAATGGATTCTGGGATTGAAAATCTCCTCCCAGTCTGATGCGGTAGTCTAGGTACAACAAGATTTACTGTGTCGACTAGGAGTTGTAGTGTTTCTCCGAAGATTGTCCTTTCTTTGCTTTACATCAGTTGTAGATGATGAACTACTAGTGTCACATCACGAGAAGTCTGAAAAAGATTAAGAGTACTAATTTTCCAAGCATTTTACGTTTCAATTATTCGCAATATGTATAGATGTCTGATCGTCATCTTAATCTTTGATCGATCGATTGGTAGTGGTATTTATGCCACCGAACAAAGTTACTTCGAATGGTATTTTTCCGTTTAAGCATATTGAACAAAAGAACACCATAGTTTTTGTTCGGTCGTTTATACGACCATCTTGAACTTCTGAATCAATTGGAGTCGTCAGAAAGTAACAGATTCGTTTGGATTAGCAATTAAGATTTGGGAAATTGAATAATGTCGGAAAAGATGTGGAACAGGTGCATGTTGTATTTACTCTCTAGGTGGTGACTGGAGTTGTTTTTTTCCGTTCGCGCTGGCCGGTCTGTTCTGCTGTCGTCCGGTTACCTCCTTCAAGTGTGACGGTACGGCTGTCTCGCTGCGTAATCATTGATTCGCTGATTGACTGAACGAATTTCTATCTCAATCGTTTTCCGGCGCCTTGTCGCTCTGACTAGCAGAAGATCCTTCGTGCCTGGTAATATCCGTTCGGCGTCCGACTCCGAGCCGACAAGCGCAACGATCATGACGGGTACTAATTCGATGCGTACTAGAGGCGGGGAGCCTCGCAGCATCAGCCCGTCCAACATGCTGGTGGCACTCGTTGTCGGGACGCTGCCAATGCAGGTTACAGCTAACTGGTTGCTATCCTGCTCATCATGCGTCGACCAAACCTACTTCGCTGACGAGAAACTGAAGGCAGATGTTACCCCAGCAAATACGGAAAATCTGCTTGAGCAGATCAAGCGGGTGCAGGTACTTTGTCCTTGTTCATTTGTTCTATTTTTTAGCCACACTAGTTTTTGTGCTAGTGCTATCAAAAAAGATCTTGGATAATGGATATGGATTCCTCGGATTGTTGCAACACGACTTCTAATTCGGTCCCATGGTAAAGCGTCGCTCCGGGAATTGTTTCATCTGAAAAATTTACTTCAGGTCCAAAGCTATGTCCATAAAGAAGAGGAATTCTTTAATAAGTTCTTCAACCGCACGCAACTTGGTATTTTAGCGCAGGACTTGCGACAAATCATGCCTGAAGCAGTTGCACTCGTACCAGAGCGTCGCTGGACAAACAAAGAGGGAGCGTCCATGGTCAACAAAGAAGTGCTCATGATTCGCGATGCTCATCTGTAACCTTTTGTTGATTTGATTTGATGTATCCTTCTTCTACCGGTCCTCACTGTGTGTTTGAAAGACTCCTCATCTTCTTCTCACTTTTCATCTTGTTCTTCTCCTTTAAACATTATTCGATAGACCTTTAATGTCCTCCTTGTTTGGATTTTCAGGCTCTTTTCCGCCGTTGGCGCTCTGAATCACTTGGCGCACGATTTTGATATGACCGAGAATGTGGTGGAAGAGCACGGTCGCTCGCTCGGTTTTGTCAAGGAAGAACAGGAATTGAACAAAAGAAAGCGCGAAGATATAATGGAGCAATTGCTCAGGACTATCGCGACGACAGAGGTACTTACGTTTATTGTGATGTCCATCTCCTCGTGACTAGTACGTCTACTTGTAGAACTTCTACATAATTCTTGTGATATTACTTTTGTCGTGAACGGATCATGTACTAGTTTCACAAAATGAACAAAATTATTCAAAAATCGCACTACAAGTTTATACTCCACCACGAGCATCTCAGGTACTTGCGAAAGCACTGCAGACAACTGAGATCCGCTTTTCCGAGTTAGAGACTCAGTTCGCTTTGCTGCGAGAGGATAGCAAAAGCAACACCGCTAGCGTCAAGGCACGAATCGCAGACGTGGAAGAATCCATTACCAACATGAAAAAAGTGCTGGAAAAGGAAGCACACGCTGACTTGGTCGAAAAACGCAAGAAGTCGGAAGTCGATCTCGAGAAAACTAAGGTAAGCTTTTGGTTGTCATAAACCAATGAATCGGCGAGGAGTACCAAAGCAACACCAGAGCTTAAATAATGATTTTTCTCAACATCTACCTTTCGCAATTTGTTCAAGCAATGATGGAATCGAAATCTTGCATATCGCCCTATGAAATCCAGGTTTTGAAGGAGATCGAGGAGCTTCGCTATTCCGAAGAGCAAAAGACCATCAAGTTGAAAGCGAAGGAGAAGAAAGAGGCAGAGGAAGCGATCATTGCTATGCACAAGGAAAAAATCAAGTACGAACAGGAGAAAAAACTTGACGGCGACCTGCAGACTATCAAGGCACAGGAGTTGTCAAATCTGCGACAGTTGTCCGAAAAGGCAAAACACGAAAAGGAAATCAAAGCCATGGAAGTGGAACAGGAGAAATTCAGAGCACAAAAAGAACTAGAACAAGCGGTCGAGAAAGCAAGTAATTTTTTTGGCATATCTGCCTGGTAGTCGTGCTACTTACCCCAAAATAGTTATAGCTCAAGTTTTCACTTGAACTTGTGAATTTGATGCTGATCATGGCAGACGTAGACGTAGTACTAGTACTTATTTGTTTAGTTGATCTTCATCGCACACTCTTCTAGGTTGTAATTGTAAAGCTATTTTAAACCGCGCAATTGAACAAGTTCGTACTAAGTATCTTACGTCCTCCACTGTCAGAAATCGAGCAAGAGGCGAAAATCAAGGAAATCCGAGAAAACGAGGACGTGCACGCACGCGAGCAGAAAATGAAGCTTGAGGGGCAGAAGCAACAAGTGATCGTCGCAATCCAGGCAACCGCAAGGATCGTGTATTCAACTTCCGTTTTTTGATGTGCTCTCGTATCTATAATATTTGAGTCTTCTAGTAGTTGTAAGCAGGTTGTCTCTGAACAACATGAGCATGATGATGATGTTTTATCAGAAATTTCAATCTCGATGTCGTCGATCTCGATCTCGCATCGATCTACCGACTTAAGCACATTCAAAAGAACATCATGATGATGAACTCCTGGCACCATCAACCCCGTTCAACATGATCAGCACCTCTTGGCTGCAAGCCTTGTATGGATCCTCGCAGAATATCATGTATGCGATCGGATCCTTCCTCTGCGTGGTCATCGGCATCTACTTTACCAGAGAAATGGCGACGCTGGTGCGAGAGCAGTTGAATAAGCGCCTCGGACGTCCCAGCTTGGTCCGAATGACCAGCAAGAAGACGCGATTGGGCGAATTCTGGAGACTGCTGAAGCACACGCTTACGTGCTGTCTCTGCCGTAAGCGCGCTGGGCACGAGTTTGACGATGTGGTTCTGCATAAGACACTGGAGGATCAAATATTCCGTCTTGCGAATGCAACGAAGAACGCCAAAGCTCGAGGCATGCCACTGCTGCACATCATGTTCTACGGACCACCAGGAACGGGAAAGACGATGTGCGCCCAACGTTTCGCAGAATATTCGGGATTGGAGTACTCATAGGACCGATTTAGAGTTATACAACTTATCACTGTTCATCTCGTTTTCATTCATCTTGCATCATCTTTTGCGCAAGCAGAAGCAATTAATAGAAAGAATGTGAGTCCATGTAAATTTCATCAGCTTCCATTCCCAACCCTCGTTCATCTTCATCAAACACTCATCAAGAGGATCAAGAACTCCGAAAAATGTCATCTCCAGGTATGCGTTCATGTCTGGTGCTGATGTCGCACCATTGGAGGAGCAGGCGGTTACGGAGCTCCATAAGCTGTTTACGTGGGTACACAAGTCGCGCAAGGGTGTCCTTCTCTTCATCGATGAAGCTGATGCTTTCCTGGCTGTCCGTAACAAGTCCATGTCCGAGAGTCTCCGAAATGCACTTACAACGATGCTCTATCATACAGGTACCACACGGATATGAATTTGTTCATCATGATAGTGTTCTAATGTTGGATGCCGTTTTCTCGCGCACGTCACACGCGGACGAAGGCGAACAGCCGGAAGAATGTTGTTGTACTCTATCGACATCAACATATTAGTTCTTGTTGACGTATTCTAACTCCAACGAACTCACTCTCACACACTGCCCGTCTTTCCCTCTCTCTATAGTTGACGTATTCTAACTCCAACGAACTCATTCTCACACACTGGCCGACGTCTCTCCCTCTTATATATAGGTACTCCCACCAGCCAGTTTCTGATGGTGTTGGCGACAAACAGGCCTGGTGATTTGGATCCAGCCGTGTTGGATCGTATCGATGAATCAGTGGAATTTGGTCTACCAGATTTGGCCGAGCGAGAACGTACTTTTCATACTAATTATTGTTGATAAATGTAGTGCTAGTGACATCAGCGAATGCGAACGAAAGCAAAAGTAGATGCTAAAAGGGACTAGAATAAAAGTAATCACTGTTTCCAGTTGCCGAGCATACTCAGCTTTCCATACCCGCGTGTCGTGTGTCTTATAAAAAAAAGGAATTATGATCCTCACGCAACATGATTAAGATTAACTTCATCTTCCACGGCCTCACTCTAAACGACCCACTTCCAGGTATGGTTTCGCAATACTTCAATATGTATGTGACGAAGCCGCTGAGAATCAAACTGAATAACTCGAACAAGCCCGTGAACAAAGCTTTGATGTCCCCCAAGAAGGGCCTGGCTATCAACACTGCTGCAGAGGCAGAGGACGACGTGGACTCAGAGGCCCTGAAAGAAGTTGCGGCTAAGCTCAAGACATTCTCTGGTCGTGAGATCGCAAAGCTGTTCACCGGGTTGCAGACGCATGTACTAATTTTTCAAACTCTTATTTTTTATTTACTTGGACACACAATACTAGTTCCGAGGACTTCCTTGTCTTAAAAAACAAGTAGACGTACAACTACTACAAGTCTTGATGTAGCTATTCATCATGGCAATCATGTTGATGTTGATATGATCTACAGAGCAAATTGTCCGAAACTACCGAATACGTCACACCAATCACAGATTTGTGCGCATATGCGTGGTGGTTCATTACGCACGCGCTCGCTGAAGCTCACAAAGGGAACACTGTTCGAAGTGGTGAAGAACAAGGTGGAAGAGCATTACCGCACTTTAGACGTCCTGGCAAAGGGTTACGCGTATGTACACAAGGAGGGCTCGCCTAGTCTCCCGGGAACGCCGCATCTGCCACGGTCGAACCCTTTGTCGGCATCAGGTTCACGAATTGGGGGCATGCCAGACTGGCAGACTGCTGGCATCAACATCAATATCAACAATAGCAACCAGGCGATGGCGGCCGCTGCGGGTGCGGCGATCCCGAATCCATACGGCGGGACTGTGTTCAACAACGTGAGTCCAACCAACGCGGCGTTTTCGCGCGAAGTCAGCGGCTTCGGGCTGGCGCCAGCAAAGGAATTGCAGATCGAAGAGATGCCGAATTCGAAAGCAGGAGATCCAGGAGCAAACAGCAAGAACAAACTATCCACCTCTTCTTCAGGAGCAAACAAACTATCTACAGGAGGAGCTGGTGGATCTTTCAGAGGAGGTTCTTCAACGAAGCGTGGCTCAGCGGGTGGAGGAAGTTTAGATGGAGATCGTCCACTTTCTAGCACGTCCGAGGGACCAGATGGCGGAGCAAGCAGTTCCACGTCGTCAGCAAGTGTAGAGCGCCACGTTATCAGTTCTCCAATCTCACCCGATACCCCGAGTCTGGACTTCAAAGATGTAAGGAAAATTTCCCTAGATTCCTGGTTCGACAGTCCACCATCAAAAGGCGGTGCCAATGGCGCTGCTGCTCCTAGTACAACTAGTAATACTTCTACTGCCAATGGCGGTACAACATCAAAAAATAACGTCGGAGGAACATCTTCAGCGAAAAGCACTGGGACTGCGGCTGGAGCAAGTAGTTCATCGGCTTCCGGAGTTGTGCCTCCGTCTGTGGCTGCGAAAGAGGCTGGTTCAAGCAACAAAGCACCTGGCCCCACATCTTCAGTGCCCCCCTCCGCCTCAGGGATAAAGCCGCCACCCGCAGGTGTAGCAGGCAACCGCGGGACGGCGGCACCGCCGACGCCTCCACCTGTAGCAGGGGATGCATCAAAGGCGCCAGGCAACGGGAAGCTACCCTCCGACGGCGCTGCATCTTCAACGAGTGGGAGTAAGCCGACTTCTTCAGCGCCAACTGCAGGAGGTGCAGCCGCATTGCCGGGTGGTACGAGCACCGACAATAGCAGCAACGCTCCGGGATCGTCACAGGCACACACAACCATTGGTGTTAACACCGCAACACTCAAACGCGGAAAGCCTCCCAGCAAGTAAAACTGGATCGTAAGCGCTCGAACAACTTGATGTAAAAGAACAAGTAGAAGTACTACCCAGAACAACGAGTAGAAGAACTAGTACTACATCAAGTAGTAATTCTGATTGTATTTTTCGAACAAGAAGAAATCATAAGGGGAAGAGCTTAAATGTCGACCCTTATCATGGGAGAAGATCCAACACACACGTTTAGGACATGATGATGAATGATAAGGTAGTAAGAGACACCAAAATAACGTCATGATTGAAGCGTACAACTAGTAGAACTAAGGTTTTCATCGTCATGCGTCGTGTGCTACAAGTTCTTTGCCTCGTTCGGTCCTGTCGTTTCTTGTCCTCGGGGAGCTGTCAATGTTTGGACTGGACAGGAGCAGCGAAGCTGCTGTACTATTTTTCTAAGTTCTTTTGATTTGATCTTGAAATTGAACCTTCAATCAGCATCCTAATGCAGTCATGTTTTTTTGTCTATTCATGCTTGCCTCTTCTTTTTTTTCTCGTTAGACACACAAGAGCCGAACAAACTACTGTCATGGTCTCAGCTTACGCATGATTTCATTTTCAAGTCTCAGCTTTTTTTTAGTTTAAACAAATGAATCGAACAACAAAATCTTGCCGCAACAGCGCGGGGCGTGTGGTGTCAAAAGGAAATTTCATATTTATAGGCATCGCATTTCTAGGTTTTTTATCTTCTATCATGATCATATTGTCTTTGTCCTTGGATTGAGTAGTCGTTGCAATTAAGATTCACTGTCAGAGCATGGCGATAGAACCAGCCGTGTCTGCGAAATGAAATTGAAACTTCTCAACATGATTCCTTCTTTATTTACATTTAGTATAAGAAAATATGATTATCATTGTAATTAGTGCTCGGTGGAAGATTGAAATCCTAGTTCTCTTAGTTCTTGTTTTGCATGTATATTACGACGCTCGATGTTGATCAGATCCGATCTTGGCGGGAGAAGATGAATGAATCTGATGAATCATAATCAATGTAGGTAGATGAAGTAGAGATATAGTTACATCAACTGCTGGACGAGGATGGTTATGAGTAATCACCGGATGGCCGTTGAGGACGCCAACATACCCATGATAGCGAAAAAAATGTCCATCATTCTTCAAGTCACAAAAAAGATTGTCGTGGTAGCAGGACTAAGACAACGATGTGAGAATCAACTTTCACCTGAGACTTGCAAGAAATATCTTACCAAATAAGTAGAAGACCAAGCTGAGCACGAGTAGTGTCAAAGAAAGAAATAATCTACTTGCTAACTGATCGTGATGTCAACATCGCGAATTTGAACGTCGTCGATTGCCGTTCATTGTCTCTTAGTCTTACGTAAAAGATGGCCATTCAGCTGCTATGACTGGTCTGCATTTTTGAGAGCACGCAGTGCACCACAAGAATATGGCCCTGGCGAGTTTGAGTGAATCTGTGGTTCTGTAAAAGTAAAAAAAAATAGAAATCCTTCCGCTCCTACTTTCTGTTTTTGAATTCTAAAAAATTGTTCGACTGGAGAGACCATTTCTAATATTATATGACAGCAGAGGATCAAGTCAGAATGGGGGCATCGGTCATGAGAGACTAGGCGTAGGTTGCATTCGACAAGAGAGGGTTTAAAAAGCGAAACCCCGTTCTATGCTTTTCGGTAGCAGACGAGATAAAGAGGCCTGTCTCTGAGTGTGTATAGGTTATCCAGAAACTTTTCTGTTAGCTCCTACTGCTAGTGCGTCTCAATTTTCATCAACTGATCCATCAAAAAGGTCCACATGTTCTACTTAAAGACGAGATGACATTCCCCCATGCCCCCTCTTTTCAATGTGTTAAGCTTTAGTTCCCCGTCATCAAAATGTCGCACAAGATATATAAGGATGTTGTAATGTTGAGTAGAAATATTGGCATCTTCTATCACCTACTTACTCGTAGACATTGATCACGACGTTCACGAGGCATCGTCGTGTATTCTACTTTCCAAAATGTAGTATCACTATAGGTATGAAGAAAGACAAAGAAACCACATAAGTAGACTCTACACTGTAGGGTAAACCTAAACAAGAAATAAACCCGATTATGGATCGTATCTTTATTTTGCAGGTAGCTCGTGCTGCTTGTGATCTTGACCATATGATGCGGATCATTATTTCGTTTCTTTTCCCTTTGTTTGAAGCGACATCCTGACCCTGAGCTTCATCGATATATCTACGTATTGTCTATTTCAAAAAAATGTGCCGCGCGGAAGAAAATGCTCTTTGCGGCTCTCATTTGTCTGCTTGCATGATATCGAAGGACAAGGAGAAGCTGGGTTAGTAGCAACTTGTTGCGACGATGTTGCGTGGGCCGAATTTCACAAGGGTAGAGCCTTCGGGCTCTGAACGGGAAACCGGCCCAAGCGCCTCTGTTGATGGATTTCCTGCCGTGGAAGGGGAACGGCAAGAACAATGGGATCATCAAGTGACAATTACAACACAGGAAGATGAACATGTCAGAAATTCGGACCACGAAAGTCTCGCTCAAGTGGAGCAACATGAAAGGACGTCACTTACGACCATGAACACTTCGAATGTTGTTGAACGAAGCGAGACTACACACGGAGTTGTGGATGCACCGACTGGCCATCATTCGGCTGCATCTAGCTCAGCAAGCGATGAGCCAGCAAATCACGCACCCTCGACAATGGTTGTGACGAGTAGCGCTGGTACACCTGATGCTGAAGCAATGACCAGTGTTGAGGTGCACTCGATCACTGAAACATCAAGTACCTCCATCGACAGTTCTGTTGTTCTAAACATGGCTGGTGGTGCGGGGTCCGGAGTCATGGGAGGTGCACTAAGAAGCGATCGCCCTGGTTCTCTGGTGTTGCACAACGATGCTCCTCCTGGTTCTTTTTGGGATGCTCGTGTTTCCGACGTAGTCCCGGACTCGGTGTGGAAGCATGCCTCGCCCTTTTTGAAGGACTGGTGGTCAGAGTACCCCTTGTGGTTGTCCTTGATGATGGATTTTTCCACCTTGATGGTGGTCGGCGGTGTGGTTTTGAGTTGTCTCTTTCTTGCTGGGGTAGAGGCAGTCGGCTTTTCCCCGAGCGGCACTGTACGACACGAAAAGCAAAAGGCCTGGGTCTTGCCGATGGTCATCATGTTGTCGGGTGGCGGCATTGTGCTTCACGTCATCTTGGTGGTCCGGAACAAAGATCGATTCGGGTCCTTGATGGTCGTGGCGCGTGATTATTATGAAGGATCTCGATTGGAGACGGTGTACGTCCGCACAGTGCGGCCTCGAAACCGCGACGGGTCCGAGATGGACCCAGCACAGTATAGTCCCCATTTCCGACGGTACGAGCCTTACTGCATGGCCGTCTCCACGGTCGGACACCCCGTCTTTCACGGCGACGGCGTAGAAGACGATGATCTTTATAGGGGACGCTCTGGAACGACGAGCACGAGCAGCGATCCTGACGCGGCGATCACACAAGTCAACTCGTCTAATAGAGGTGCGGGTGGCGGAGACTCATCGAATGACGTAGCGTTGAGACCACGAGCTATTATCGGGATCGCCGATCCCCAACCCGATTCGCATGATCTTGGTCGTGGTGACAGACGGCGCGACGAGGATGATGAAGATCATGCGAATTACCTAAATTCAACGAGGCATCGACGCAGAAGCCGCCGCCGACGTCATAGAAGCAGCAGCTCTTCCTCTCGCCGCCACGGCCATGGGAGTAGAGGGAGGGACCATGGGAGTCGAGGGCATCGTCGTCGACGCCAAAGAATGTCGCGACGGTCTGCAGCTGCTTCTTCTGCAAACGACGTGAATGGTGAGGGTACAGGAGCCGCTGAACAGAGTAGAAGAAGCACTAGCTCAACACACGATGGTCACGATATCAATCATAGATCCAGAAGGACAAGAAGAAGTAGGGAACAACGCCGCAGACACAGTGACCACGAAAGGTCGGGCCGGAGCAATCTGGAGGAGCTTGGCTATGTTCAGACCTCGGACCCGTCTGGACGAGGTGATCGTTCGAGTCGACACCGTAGGTCGCGACAAAGAAGCCGGCGAAGCGCAGGCAACCTTGCCAATGTCACTGAGGAAAATCAGAATGTTGATGGTTCTCCCTCTCTAGAGGTAACGTCGGCCCGTTCGCGGGATACCGCGGGAAACGCATCTTCCTGGAGCAGAAGAGTCGACCGCGATAGAAGATCACGCTCGCGTGATTCTGAGGACGCCCTAGCATCGGACTCTCTCATCGGTCAGCATCATCGCACGGTGGACATGAATTCAAGAGCTGAACGCTCGAGCGTGATATCGACGTCAACCTCCCGATCGCGTAGTACAACGCGCAGGGCTAGAATACAAGATGTTGATCAACAACATCAAGAAAGGCAGACTTTTGAAGAGTGGCCCGACCAAGATTTTTTACGAAGATCGAGAGTGTCAAGACACGCCGAAGGCGATACTTTGGGCTCATCAACTCGTGCCGTTCCGAGCGACGGCGCAGGGGTAGCTGAGATACCACTAGATAGTGCGAATACGGCTAGCCAATTCTCGACAACAGCACCAGCGCAGTCCTCGGTGCACTCCACCCCTACTTCCCTGCCAGTCCCTTTCTCACAAAACACCTCCCCCTCCAGCACGACATCTCGCACTGTGAACATAGGAAGAACGATCATGGCCAGCCCTGAAGTTCTTGGCCGCGCAGCCAAAAGCGTTGCACAGTTGCCGATAGGAGCTGCTAGGATGATATGTGCTCGTGCAACTGGAACCCCAGGACGCGATCGCGTGGATCAAAGAGAGGACCAAGAGACTGCGTCGTCTTCGAACGACAGTGAGCATGAGCGAGGCTCTTCAAGATCCTCGTCTTCGGGAAGTACTGCGCGCCATAGCCGGTCCTCAAGAAGCACAACTTCAGCTGCGTCTGTTGTTCGAACTGAAGACGACGAATTGTATGGGCAATCCTCTGCGAGAACCAGAAGCAATTCTTCAAGATCATCACGAGCTTCGTCCTCAGACTCCTCTTCGGGCGGATCAACAATAGACACAGACTGGCACCACCGGATCGAAAACCGCACTGTTGGAGCGGAATCGCTTGCAACACAACCAACAAGTAATCCCGATTCTATAGCACGTTTAGATGGCATGTCTCGATTGGAATCGATATCGCGGTTAGACATGCCCAGATCACCGCAGCCAAGTGTGTTCGGTGACGGTGGATCCTTGCCCGGTGACCGCTTGTCTATTTCCAACAGGACGCTCCCTACCTTGGGCGGGGCCCACACATCTTCTGTCCCTCTGGCTGCTGCGGAACCACAACAACACCAAGATACAGAAAATCATCAATCACTTGAAAACAATAACAATCCTGATAATGATGCCACTAGTACTTCTAGAGACCACGAGGTGGTGGATGAAGATGATGACGAGAACGAGGACTGGAGCATGGTCAATTCATTCGCATTGAGTAGCCCAAGTCCAACAAATGTAGGACGCAATCCATCTTCCCCTAGAACTACTCCTACTTCAAGAGGACCAGCATCAACATTGGTAGGAGCGACCACTCCCACGCCTTCTTCACCTACTTCTGCTTTGAACTATCAACGTTCCTCGCTCTTTTCGTCGACACGGCCTTCAGTATCTCGAAACCTCGGGTCGCGAGGTACTTCTTCTGTCAGTATGGCGAGTGCGGGTGCTGATCAGCACTCGGTGGTTAATAACACGGCCTCGCCCACAAGTAGATCTTCGACGAGGTTAAGACCTACGCCTGTACTTCTGCCCGGGGAGCAGATTGATACTTCAGAAAACCACCAGCATGAGAATGAGATCATGGAGGCCGATAGGATACCTTCTAGAATAACTGGTGGTGCACCTCCTGCGCATCTAACTTCGTCATCGTCCAATCGGGATCATCGAGATGCGCACAGCAATCCCTCACCTACCTCATCCAGTCGGAGGAGATCTCGCAGTCCTTCTCGATCCACTTCTCCAACTAATAGAGGGGGTCGTGGAACATCTTCTTCATCCAACGGGATATTTTCTGAAGGAGACGATACTGGGGGAGCTTCGGGGACACCAGGTCCGGAAGTAGTTGAAGTGCAAGTTGCCACCGGAGAAGTGCTCGCTCAACTTTCACCTCACGACATGTTCGGCGTGAGAGTAGTTGCTCCGCGTATTGGTGCCAACATTGCGCCGAGTTGGCCACCAGGGACGAAAGGACCAAGTGAACTACTATAGTTAGTGCAGAAGTTCTTCTTCATATCATTGCCATGATCTTCTCGAGGCATAGAGGTGTCGGCTAGAGATGAAGATCACAGTCTTCTTCAAGAACAATGAGGAATGAGGTTAAAAAAGAAGGTTGGTTCGCGTCGTAGACGAAAGCCAAGATGCGGATGCTTATGTTTATGATAGAACACAATCACAAATGATGAATGATGAAAGTGGAAAATTTTCGTGTGCCTACTACTCCCGGTTTTTTTTGTCAAGATCGGGCGGTTCTGGTGGATGCACATCAAGAACGAAGTGAATATGTTGTGGTGTTCATCAGGAAGAACTTGTCCTCGCGGAGAACATGTTCAATCTTGAAGATGTGCTGCTTCGCTAAAACAAAAATTGCGGAATGTGAATCTACTAACCGAAAAGGAACAATCTGTACGAAAAATAATTTTCCAGAACATAGTTTTAGTTCCAAACAGCACAGGATCTACGTTTCAAGACAGTTCTTCTTCTTGTTCTGTGACAACGATCCCCTTCAGAGCGGTTCTGCTTTCTACTTCCGAACCTGATTGAATGCAATAATGCCAGTCATACGTGAGACCTCGAGATGAATGAACTCCGTCTTCTCCGCTAGTATCTTGTCTCGCGTCCTACAACAGCGGTCCATCTGTTCTTGTTCCCCATTCTGACTCTTGTCGTGGACGCGGATCTTCTGCTTTTCGTTTTTACAAGCGGACAAACTCAAGTTCACCGTTTGTCAGCGTTTCCTACATGATGTTTTAATAGATATGTTTTCCGACTAAAACACTGACACTGATACCGCCTTGCACTTGTTCAGAACATCTTGTAAGGTTTTTATCTTGTTGACCTTCATAATGTTTTTGTTGTTGACCTTGACAATTCGTCTATCCTTATAGGCGCACTTCTCATTCTCTTTCTGTCCTTCATCTGACCAGGAAGCTGCGGACCGAGCCGTTGTATTTCTTGTGAGATCGTTTGTTTCCGCTTTCAGGCTCCTGTTCTAGGATTTTCGTTTCGTAAAATAATTTCTAGATCTAGTTCCACTTTCTTAGAGTTTGTTTGGTATCAGTTTTCTAAGTACTTGTTTTCATTTTTTCTACTCTGAAAAAACTAAAAGCAAAGAATGGGTGATCGCAGCGAGAGGGAGAGGGACCGAGAAGAGCCCAACTTCTACGTGCGATACTACGTTGGGCATAGGGGCAAGTTTGGGCACGAATTTTTGGAGTTCGAGCTCCGAAGTACAGGAAGGCTACGCTACGCGAACAACAGTAACTACAAGAATGATACCATGATTCGAAAAGAGGCGTACGTCTCACCTACGGTCATCCAGACGCTGAAAAAGATGGTAAAGGAATCCGAGATCCTCCATTGCGATGACTCAAAATTTATGCGCAATCAAAGAAAGCACCTTGATCACATCGGGATTCCCATTAATGCATTTTGACTACTTCCTTCACTGATCTTGAAAATTTAAGTTCTCTACATTCGATATATTGATTTTGATGTGTCCCTGACAACTTCCTTCGACTTGGTTACATCACCCTTATTAAGTTCATCGACCAAGATCAAAGAAGAAGAACCCTACCCCTACAATAAAGATGCACCCCCTTTCATATTCCGGCCAGAGCCAGACCGCGTGGGTAGACAGGAGCTGGAGATTGTCTTTGACCGAGAGCATATTTCTTTCACCACGTCGAAGATCGGAAAGCTAAAGGAGGTCCAGGAGAGCAAGGATCCGGAAGGCCTGAAAACTTTCTACTACCTGGTACAGGACCTCAAGTGCTTCGTTTTCTCTCTTATGTCATTGCACTTTCGAATCAACCCGGTTGCGAAAGCGTGATGCGGGGTGATCCTCGACTTTATCTGTGTCTGCAGGAAGAGCTGCGCAGCAGTAATCAGTAGGAAGATAAAGACGTTGACGAACCTCAACGATCCTTTGAGTGACATAGATAGATGAGTCTCTAATTTGCTGTCCAAAATGTTGCTACTTTTGATCCAGTCCATAGTTCATGTGTATCTTCAATATTATCATGTGGACCATACCCCGCCTCCCCGTTCGTTCCCTATTTATCCATAATTACTTATAGATGATGCACGACGAGTTTGACTCGAGTGGTCGAGACGCTGGAACACACTGGACGTAGAACACTGTAATAAAGATCATATTATTTAACAGCGTTGAATTATGGTAGATGAAGATGACAACAAAAGATCTCCACCAACATCGCATCAAGAAGTCTTGCACACAAAACGAAGAGCCCAGAAGATGGCTTACAACTTTGTCAAACCGCCACTCTTATCGTCGATACCTCCTGTGTTCATCTGCGTCTGACCATGTTGAAGATAGTGTGATTACAGGATAGTCATCCCATCGAGTCCAAAGGCCAGCTGAAAGGCTTTGATGATGAACAATGCTGATGAAAATGAATCCTTTCGAAAATGAAATTGAAAATGATCGTATTGTCAGCAAACTCAGGATTGAAGTTCTATACTTCTCGAGGATTGATTGTGTTAGTCAACAGACGAGATTTAGTTTTTAATATATCCAGAGCTAGAGGATAGAAGAGCAAGAGAAAATCGTGAAAGTATATGAAGGTTGATGCGAATGTGAAAGCGATTGTCCAATAAATATATCTTACTTGCCAAGACGAGTACCTGAAGCTGAATCAAAGTCAACGTCTGTGCTTTGAGTATGAAAGAACGATCTGTTGAGGGAGAGGCCACAAATATTGAAGATGTAGTTCTGGGAGTGCTGCAAATGATTCTTGTTGAGCGCTGTCCGAAGTCATGATGGATGAGGATGAGTAAATCAATGTATTCTGAAGAAGATTAAATCTTTCCTATCCTACGATGCAGGTGTTGTCCAGTGTGGCATATAATTATTGGGTATATTATAAATATAATTAGTATCTTCACTGACCCCTCATCATGCCTCTTCTTGAATGAGAATTCATATTGATGTCTATCCAGTGGATCAACCAAGTGAATCTGCGGCAAATTGCGCGGCGTCTGGCACGTTTTTTATAATGTTGCACTTCAAGATGTGAAGGACTATCTGTATCTTTGAATCTAGCTAGATAATCAACTACAACTGCTGACTTGCTACAAAAAATTCAATGTCGTGCAGGTCGTGCATCATTTATAACACTGCTATCTTTCACTTTCGCGAATCATAATCCAGAAGATGGTGATATCCTTGCTACTCTTCTAGAAATATTCTTTACCTGGTAGAAGAACCGCGCATCTGCGGGATTCATAGCATGATCTGAATCTTGCGTACTAACGATCAGAGTGGGTATTCACTGCGCCCAAATCAATAACAATAATGTGCATAGTACTGTAGAGAAGGACGACAGCTGCGCGTCTTATCATCCGACCTGCTTGCGAATACGTGATGATGAAGTACTATCCTTGACCTGAACTTTATTTCCATCTGATTGCAGCCACTGAACTGGATTCATATGCATCAGCATCGTTCTCTCCCTTCTTCGTACCAAACTCTAGGATCATGCATGAAGGAAACGGATAATGCCAGTTAAATCTTTTTCTCTATTAGAGTGAGGAGTGTAATGCATTTTTTGAAAAAAGAATGACCAAGCCGCGAAAGCGACCGGGGAGGTCGTGATCGTCACGTAGCAGCGGACAAGTTGGGAAACTACACTAATAGTGCAGGTGGCCAGCAGTCCTCCTGCCAAATAATTCGTCCTTCAGGACGCAAGGTCTCGGCAGCGGCTTGCGCTACGAACGAAGCCAGCAGTGTCATGATCAAGAAGAACAGGACGATCGCACAATCCAAGTGATCTCACAACCCTTCGAATATCCTTCGAAAGTAGAATAGATACGCAAAAACATCTCCACGCCAAAGCGATAAGGAGTGCCGCACTTCTTCTTCTATTTGGACAAAGCTTCCGTACGCCCTGGAGCATCAAAAGGATATAACAAGCGCGAATATTAGTAGCACTGCCCCAAGGCGGCCCACCTCGATTATTAACTTCAACTTCTTCCTCGTCCATAAGTAAAAGTAGCGCGTCAGGAAGGAGGGCTAGAACAAGATGGATATTCTTTTGTTTTTGCTCGGGTACTGCATCCAGTGCCTGGCATGTGGGATGCTGTGCTGGAAAATTTACAAGAGCAAAAGTATCTACGGCCTCTCAATCGACACACAGATCGCGTTCGCTATCGCCAACGTGACCAGATGCATTTGGACATTAGACACGAGGCTGATCGAGACCAACTTCGCCTTCCTAGAACTAGTCTGCTCGACGATAGTTTCGTTGTTCTGCGTATACCTGTGCTGGACCTACCACCACACAACAACGATGCACGCCATCCCATGGCTTCGGATCTACACCTTGACGCCTATCGCAGCAGTGCTAGCTTTTTTCTTCCACCCCAGTGACCAGTGGTTCTCCGTACAAATCCTCGTGGCATTCACAATGTACCTCGAGGCGCTCGGTACTACTCCTACGACTGCTTTTTGCTTTCTTATTCTTTTTTGTTTGTCCTTGGATATGGATATGTGCCTGTGTGATCTCTAATGCTACAAGTACAACATGATGTACACATGAACATCATGACCTCCAATAATATTGCCTCTAACATCATCAACAATGCACTTATTCGACGTCTGAAAACTGAAACTCACAACGACAAAATCAAAAACGCTTCCAGGTCTCTTGCCACAGCTATGGCTTATGAAAAAGATGTACGATGTGGAGCCTATTACGAGCCACTATGTTGGTACGACTCAGCTACAAATTTTAGATGTTTTCAATTGTCATATTCGTGGTCGGGATTATTTCTTCATCTGGTATTCATGCCAAGACATCTTCAGCAGTCAGGAACACCAGATCCTTCCAGGTCTTGGTCTTTCTAATTTGTCACCAATAACTTCCGAACTAAACCACAGGCTTGCTAGTTATCGCGCGATTTTCTCGGATGGTTTTCTGGGGAGTTCTTTTCTACATTGGCGAACACTTCTTGCAACTCTTCATAGCGGACTTGGTTCATACGGTTTTTACTGCAGACTACATGTACCTGTGGTTTCGGAAACTGAAAAGCGGAGGTCGCCTCATCTACTCTATCTAGCAGGAGTGGAAGATAAGAAAGGACGAGTAGTAAGTAGTACTTTCTTCCAGCAGCACAAGCAGAAATGCAAGAGGGAGTTGTAGAAAGGTGCACCAGGAGGATGAGCTAGGGAAACATATATGGCTCGTAGTTCTTTCTAGCAGAGGAAGCACTAGAGATGAAGCTCTCCTTGTGTTTACTGGCACTACAACATGTACAACATGTCTATCTTGACGTTTAAGCTACACGACATGTTGTTTACAACCTTGTTCATAGATACTGATACAGATGAGGAGATGAATCCACTTCGCAGCGTCGTGGTGGTCGAAATTAATGCTACAACTGCTAGCTTGTACCACGGTTGATGCTACATCACACCGACTAGTATGTTGTTGGTTCAAGTTGGTCTACCTTTTAGATGGACGTCCGAGTTGTCAGGGTCAACAAAAGCTTCTACTTCTGATGTCCTAGTATCTTGTACATGATAACTGCGCTTGAACTTGTAACAATTATTGGCTTCATCTATATGTTGAAGATGTTTATTTTATGATCATGATGTGTTGCTGTTGTCGTCCTACTTCTTGTCGTGGTGTTATCTTCTTGCCGTCGTCCTCGATGACCACGGTATTCTAGATTATAGTGGCAGATTTCCTGCCGTGTGTTGTCTCTAGCTTTTACATTTTCGATTACGAGTTGCAATTACTGATATTAACAAAACGCGTAGAAAGTGGATACTAGTTGCGTCATCTGGAAGAATTTATCTTTTAGTTGTGGTTACAACGTCGATACTAGCCGTGATGTAGTAAGATTTTCATCGTCATTTCCTTGTTCACGTTTATCAATAATTTACGGATCTCCTGTCATGTCCTTTCTTCGTCTGTCTCTCTACTTCACATCTTCTAGTTCTACTCCCTAGATGATGAACAAAGCGGAAGACGGACGACCTTCTGCAGTTCTCTGGAGATAGGATGATCATACTTACCCCACAACTTCGTCGATGAGGTGGAGCAGAGCTTCGTCACACTCAACATAGTACATATGATTATTGATAAATGATGGGTAAGATTCATGATGTTGTCGTCCGACGGTTGTCAGGTAAAACGTGACTGACAACAATACTAGTAGTCCTCGTTGCGCACCAAGAAACGCCTCGGAAGATAAAAACATGCTCCAACCCCCCCCCCGTAGTTGATTGCATGCCGAATCGATTTACTTACGCAGATGCCAAGCAATAAACAATCTTGATCTCCTCCTAGAACCTCAATTGTAAATCTCTATTTTATAACCCGAAAAAACTAAGTAAAGTCGGATGTCTCGTGATGTATTCCGAGGACAATACGAAACCTGCTGCCATTCGCATTTTTTTGGTGTTGATGATGTATATTAGGATGAAAAAGACGTCGCCAGGCGTGAGTAGCTAACGAGAGTAACTGAGGATAAAGATCACACAGAGATGACTGTCTCTGTCATGACCGAACCAGGAACCCACGTTCCTAAGCTCCACGGATATGTATATCAAGCAATGCGAGTGAGAAAAATGTACTAGTCAATCATGTAACTCGAGGTGTTACAGTCCGAAACATGACCCAGTAATAGCACACGAAGATAAAAGATAGATGTACAGAATGAGAACCCCGCGAACATTGAACTAGTGACCTCACAACTTTTTCAATAGGAACTACCAACCCACACCCACAATTAAGAAAATCAAATGTCGTTATTCAGTCAAGTCGTGCGCAGCAGCTTTCGCGCTGGGATGGGAGGACATCCCTCGATCTGCAGAGTGGGCCTTCTATCTCGATCCATACAGAGCGCGCCAAAATCAGCCTTTGGCGGTATTCGACGAAGGTTTTCCTCAGGAATGAGCGAGGAAGCTTTTTGGACCTCACCGGACCTCATCGGAAAGACCTTCCTTGTCCTTTATGGTTTTTTACTAATTGTAGTAGTACTCGAGGTACTTCGGGTCCTCGTCGTCCTAAGTACATTCTCATTCTCATTCTTGTCGAAACACAAGAAGCACCCTTTGATGTTCCAAAGACCTTCCGATACCTTTGCAGACAATCCCCCATTCCGCATCCTTCCGATACCTTCCCAGACCATCCCACTACATCCCCCATAATCGTAATATCAACCATCACGTCCACCTCTCCTCGCTCTTCATATTTTCCTTTTCGCCTTTCCGTTGTACCGATACGGCAAGGACATCTACTGGACCCAGTGTATGCGAAGCTTGAACCGGTCCGAAGTGATTCAAGACCGGTATGACTGGTTGCAACGCAGCATGTTGCAGGATGAAGTCGCGGAAGTTGTGAGCAAACAAGCACAAAAATATGAGATAATTGCAGCGTAACCGTAACAGTAACTAGTAGATCTAGGCAACACGGCTAGGCAACAGGAACGTCCTTCTCGGTTACGTCATATGCTATATCTGGACAACAAGTTGTTCATCAGGCGTGGTGTGGAAGATGGCATTGAAGAACCTGGCTCCTTCGTCATCACCATGTTCGTTGACTCCTCCTGCAATTGTAGACTTTCGCACCAAGCGCACCTCTGGAAATTGCATCTACTCATGAACAAGATGCTGGATCCTTCTTAATCGTATTAGTATTTGCTCATCCGTGTGGACGTGGAGACAATGATGTGCTGTACCCGAGCAACAGGGCTTCTGCATTCTTGAGATGCAGATGGAAGCTGCGTGTGTGCTTGTATTATTCAGAGTGTTTCTTTTCATAACCAACGAACTCCGCGTGTGGATTTGCGTGTGAGTAGTTGTAATGCACCGCGTTGCACTTGCAGAGTGAAGGATTATATGAGTATGACAGACCGAAACGCTAACGCTGTCGCTGAAATGAATCCCACGAGGATGAAGTATTGTCAATCCTTGTAGTGGCACAGACATTAACTGTAGGAATGACAGGTAGATATTATTGATTCGGGAAAGTTTGGTGCTTGGACGTGCTTGCATGATTACAATTGAGACGAAGAATATATATATTTATTATGAATATGTAAAACAAGAGCAGGTCTTCACTTTTATAGAAGAAGCGGCAAGGCGATGGTGCGTTTCCGCAGGCACAAAGTAAACCGCTCAAGAACAATCTCGAGTTCAAGACGCATAGACATACTGAAGCCTTTTCTTTGCTCTTGAAGAGAAAAAAAAAGCCACGAGAATATGGACGACGGTTTTGGCCAACAGCAGGACTTTGCTGGTGACCGGCGTTTACCAGCCCGTGCTTCCGAGGGGACGACGCCAGCTATCGGCTCGTCCTCGTCTGTTGCGTCCCCAAGTCGCTTCCGGAATCCTGCTGGCGTCTCTAGTGACGGCGTTTTGGTCGACGTTCGCAGAGCGAACGCCATCCATCAACAAAATGCCGACATACAAGAGGCCTTGCGACGCATGGAGGAGGATGGGGGTGACCACCTTGCCTACGCAGCTGGTGTTGCAGGAACTGCAAACTCTAGAACGGGAACTACTTCATCTAACCGAGGATGGAATGGTGGCGGAGGAGGACAAGTTGTGCTGGATCCTTCGACGATTCTGAGTAATATGCCTGGAGTCCAGTTGCCGACAGGAGCAGCGCTGATGCCGAACAACGGCGCACTGACGGCTTTTAATAACCTCTACGGAACTGCTGCGGTCGTGCCGCAAAATATCTATCATCATATCGGTGGTGCGCCGAGGATGATGTACAGCAATCACCTATTCCCAGCACAACATTTTGCGCAGCCTCCGACACCCAGTGCTAGCAGCACGGGACCTCTGCCTGGTGGTGGTACTACAGCTGCAGAGACGCCAGCCACGCTTCATCAGCAACAGGTAGTTACTGGATGCGCCGGAGTGGATCCACGAGCAGTGGCAAACGCGCAAGCAGTATCAGCGTCATTGTTTCAGGAGCAGCCGCAATTGCTACATGCGATGGCGCACGGAGCTTTCGGAATGGGACCGACGACGCCTAGTCCAGGAGCTCCCTATAATCCTTACATCGCGTCTGCTCAGCAAGAAGCTTTCCTAGCACAACAAGTGCATGGCAACTTCAATAATCTTAGAGAACTACAACAACGTCAAATGGCGTCCGGGGGTACGTCGACTGAAGGTGGTGCTGGACCGATGGGAGGTCGTGATCAACAAGCAACTGGAGCAGGATCTGCATCTGGTCTTACTAATACTATGATAATGACAGGGGATCATCCGACTTCAACATTATCATCGTCGTCCACAAACCCGACTGAGGCTGCCCAGCATTCGAATCGCGTATCAACAGGCGCTACTATGCCAGAGTCGGCGTCTGCGACCCAGCCTGCCATAGAGGCCGCTCGTCATTCTGACATTCGCCTTAGTGCCGTGGAAGATCAAGTAGGAGGACACCACGGGAACACCACTGGCGGCGTAGACGAACCAGAAGACATGGAGACGATTCAAGTCTGGAAAGTCAATGGCGAACCTGTTGAAGTTTCAGTGCCGAAAAAACAGCTGCAGACTTTCACAGTATCTCTTTTGCTTTGCTTCTTTACCTTAGATTTTTCTTCACTTAATCAATAGATGAAGGAACTACAGCATATGAAAAGAGATAAAGATACTCGTTCTAGAATTAGAAAAACAGGACGATATTTCTGTTTGCTATCCAATTCTCAGTTACGTAAATTGAATCCTAAGCGGCCAATGCTACTCCTCCGCAAAACCTTAGGTCGGTCTTCTGCGTCCACTAGTTGCGCAGGAAATAGGTGCCCCTGCGAGTGTCGTGAATTTGCTAGATGCGGACACAGATGCAATGTTGCTGGACACGGATTTCGTACTACCGGGAGGAGGCGATTCGGATGCTGATAATCTTCGAGGACGTCGAGATGACAAAGATAACGCATCGAGCCCCAACACATCATCTCCGTCACCCGAGAGTAGCCCAAACAATCCTGCTAGTGGTAGTGGCAATGGAGCACAATCTGGTCCAACAAAGGTTTCAGACCAGAACATAAACGGCAAAGATTCTAGAGGAGCGTTGCTTAAACAGCGGAGTACGAGCAGCGCGAGTGGCACCAGCAACAACAATTTACAGTTCGGAACAGGCGGAGAAACATCAGCAGCTGAAGGGCAACGGCGGCATTTGCTGGCAATCGTCCAGAACAAAGCCTTTCCTGGCTGTGGGAGTCTCGCAGATGCTCTACACCAAAGGGGGAACGAAGCCGCAGTGGTCATATACCAGATGCCGAAGGAGGAACTGAACTACATCGAGTCCGATACAGGCGACACGTTTCTCCACCGATACGCGCGGGAAGAACGAGTGCCAGTGGTGGACTCATTGGTGAATTCTGCGCCGAGGTTTGCTCAGATCAACCACGTGAACAAAAACGGAGAGACCGCATTACACATCGCTTGCTATGTTGGCAATGCGCACATCGTCGAAAAAATACTATCATGTCCGTGGTTTCTTTTATGAGTGGGAGCACATAAGTAACTGCTTCTTATTGTTGTAACCCTATTCATTGCTATTCTTCCTATCGTCAATCTACCTGTGAGAAGAAGAATGAGCGGTTGTAATATGTAAGAGGATTTTGGCACAACAACTCTTTAGTACAACCCCTGTCTGGAATCCCTTGAAATTATGTTTTCTTCAATGTAGGAGTAGTACTACAGCTACAAAATAATGAACAAGAAGAAGAACAAAAATTGTCAACGTCTTTGATTTAGTGTCACGCAAGAGCCAGCCTTTCCCACCTTCATTTCCGAACTTTTCGCAGAAGGACTTGGTCGACAACACTGCGTTTCACTATGGCATGTTTCAAGCGCAGGAGGCAATCAAGAAGCTGTTTGCGCCATTGCTTTTACGATACACGGCCGGGTTTTCTGCTAGGCGTTTGGCAATGGCCAGGGAATTTGTTCAGGCGGCTCAACAGCGCAAAATCAACTCGCTGGATAGTATCCTAGTGAGCACCGCAGGCGCGATTCTCTTGCAGCATCAAGCGCGCATGATGGGCGTCGCCATACCGGGAGTGCCTTCCACAGCAATGCCTCCAGGAAGTGGTGCTCCCATCAACATGTTGGGAGGAGGACCTTCTGCGGTGGGTGGAAGTAACCACTACCCTTACTCTCCCGCAACCCGCAGCGCGTCCGCGCAAGCCCAGAGTGGAACATCTGCGGGGGTTGCCTCCTCTACGACTAGTTTTCAAGAACAGCAGTTCTACTCAACGAGTTCTGCAAGCGGAGCCGCGGTAGAGAACGTCCTCTCAGGAGTAGAATCTTCTTCGATAATGTCACCAGGAGTTGGAGGAGGAGAACAGATGGGTCGAACAGCACGACAGCAGCAACTACAACAGGTCGTAGGAGTGTTTCCGCCATCCGACACAGACCCACAACTTCTACATGCAGGACCACCAGGTGATCTTGCTCCACCACATCCGCACCAGGCCTACAGTCCTTACAACGTGTTACCAGGGACAGCTCTTGCGAGTGCGCCAGCCTCGCCTGATGCCTTCAACTCGTCTGGCTCCGAAGACGAGGAAACGCACTACCAGAAGCGATTTCCGCCACTGTCGAATCACGTTCTGTCTGACAGTGGTAACATGGAAGAGGAGCAGCTACCCCACGCGCGAGAAGCAGCGCTCTTAGCCTTCAATGCTGTAGTGAGATATAGCGCATCCTTGCAGGACTTCTGTCAGGCGAAAAAAATCGAGGATCTAGACATACACCTTGAGCAGCTCCTAAGGGGCGAGCTCGTCTGATTTTCCAGATGCGGGAGCCACTACATCTTTCTGTAGTTCATCTTCAGCAGGACTGGATGATTATCGTCTAGGCCCGCTTTTTGTCGAAGTCTCGTCGCTGCGGCTGGAGCCATTTTTTTTTACGACAACTATGTATTAGTCCCATTATGATTATAGTTTCGCCTGTTCTTCATGTGTACCCGGAGAAGGAGGATCAGCAGACATAACATGGAAGTCCTCTGCATTGCAATCACAGAGGTTAACGCTATTTTAGCCTGCAACGACTTCGCTGCGTCTACTCTTGGTTGTCGCTTGGAACAACCGCTGCCTAGCACAGCTGCACAGCTAGTATTTGCCCCTCTGCGACTAGAGTATGACAAGACGACACAGGAGCAGTCCACCTTGGCTTCATAATGCACACTCTTAACCGTAAGAAGTCGCAGACAATCACTTATCATGTCATATCTGTATCCAGTGATCATAGAAGATGACATTGAAAGACCTAAAATCTTCATAAACAGTAAATCAGTATCAGTGGCGGGAGTCAAGGTTGTTGAGTGTTCAACCTAATCTCATTGCCGGAATCGCGATGTTCTGTCGTGTTTCCAAGACGCCAGAAAAAATGCAAATGAAACAAAGAAGAAGTCAATAGCCCTTTGATGATCTGCTCCATTAGATGGTGGGCGTGGTTGTGCATTGAAGCTGGATAAGACCTCAGTATCAGACAAAGGACCATCTTGAAGACGATCGAATCACCCCATTGATTCAATCTAGCATCTTCTGCCTGATCTTGAAGATGCAATTTCATCTTTCTGCTACTTTCTTGTAGAACAATGCCTGAAGGAGAAGGACGAGGACATCAAGTGTACGGATCAAAGACCTTGTGATGAAAGAACCTATGATGATGGTGTGTAGTCCTGCATAAACGACGTTCCTGTGCACTTGAACATCCTCTTCACCGTCTATGTCACTGTGCTAAAACTACAACATTGATATGAGAATATAATCGAGAATTATTATTTCAACTTATGGCGCCTTCTTTTGGACTTGCGTCGAACGTATGGATGTTTGATGTGATGAATCCTAATTTTTAAGAACTTTGAAAATTATTCCTTCACATCTTAAAGTAGATCTAGATCCGAAATTTAGCAATGAAGGTTTTATGCTAACTGAACAATGAATAGCAATCAATACAACTACTCAACAAGAACAAGATGAACGTATTTAAATAATTTCATTCTGCCTCGGTCGTTAATTGTAAGAGGTCCGTGTTTTATGTATTTTCCATCATTTTCGTTATCCAAATACAGCCCCAGCAGCACTAATGGCGAAGATGATGTGTGATAGAAGTCACTATGTGCACAATGCCTTAGCTGCTCTGGCATGTGCAAGATGAAATGACTACTGTGGGTTGATTTTTTGAAAGATGTTGATACAACGGCCTGACTATTTTTTTCCTTAGTTCATTTTCATCAGATTATCCTGTTGCTTCCAAGTGTATGTGAAGAAGTTTTCATAACGTCTTCTACCTAGTGATAGTGTGATGTAATTGTAATAGTCGTTGTACTTAAGGAGTACCTGCTTATTCTTACCAGTACGTACTTCAAGATGAGTATGCTACCTCCTGCGAAGCGTCCGCGTTTGGACGATGGTCCTCCTGAGGGATACGTTGCTGGCGCTGGTCGAGGTGCGCGGCCTATTATGGGCATTCGACCAGACAATTTTGATGCAAGAGGTAAGGGCGGCAAAGCTTCCATGCAGTCCATGCATACGCTGTCTCGGCAAACGGATCATACAGTAACAAACCCTGCAGGTGGTCTGCTCACCGGAAAGCATGGGTTTTTAACCAACATGATCGGACTCGGCGCATCTGCGAACGACACAAGGGAAGGCGCGGATAAACAGTTCGGACCCGCACCACCAGGTTACATCCCAGGTCGTGGTCGTGGTGCTACGGGGTTCGTTGGTGGTGTCTCTCGTGACGAAGTCGATCGTGATGACGATAAGACGGTACTACGACGTCCATTTGAGAGCTGATGCATAGAAGTTGTTAAGGACGAAGACAGAGTACTTGCTGCCACGAAGAACAATATCTATATCAAGCGCTCATCCTGTTTGTATCACCCTCGCATATTTCTCACTCTTACAACTATTGGCGTAGGAGTTGTCGATATTTTTTTGAATCATCTAGCTACCACAACAACTGACAGGATTTGGGAGATAACAACTACGATGAGTTTGCGGGTTATGGTGGTTCTTTGTTTTCTGGCGCGAATTACGATCAAGACGACGACGAAGCCGATAAAATTTACAACGAATGCGACGTTCGCTTAGATGAAAGGCGCGCGAAATGGCGGGAAGAGCGCATTAAAAATGAATTACGAAAAGTCCGTTCCGAGAAGCCAACAGTAAAACAGCAGTTCGCGGACTTAACGCGTGAGCTAGCCAACGTATCGACCGAAGAGTGGAACAACATCCCGGAGGCACAAGAGCACTTAAAAGTGAAGGAAAAGAAAAGGCAAAGCATACACGCAATACCGGATCATGTGCTTGCCGGCACTACGGGAATGCAAAGGCACGGGAACGGAATCAGCACTCCGGTATTTTGATTTATTCTTCGGATATTTGAACATCAGTAGAATTGCCATTCTCATCTTATTCGTCCTATCGTCGTTTGATAGGTTTCAACTAGAAGCTGCTTGTAGCGCGATCTGCATCTGCTTTTCTCAACTCTCTACCACAGATGATGGGTATGCAGACTCCGATGATGGGAGGAGGTGGCATGTCAACACCAATGGGCATGCAAACACCCATGGGAATGCAGACGCCCATGGGCATGGGAAGGGGCGGGATGATGACACCCATGATGGCACCAGGTAATCCTATTTATTTTGATTTGGAAGGGGCGTCGGGATGATGACACCCATGATGGGACCAGGTAATCCCATTTTTTTGGAAGAACGATCAGTATCTACGTGGGTGTCCTGATGTAGTTTCATCGGACTTGCAAAATGCAAATTGTAGACTTCTACTTCCGGAGCAGGAGTAAGAAGATTGTGAATGATCAGCTCTTTCCCTTTTACTTTCACTCAATTTGAAACCTCGAGATCTTCAGGTAGTAGCGGCATGAGCACACCAATGGGAATTATGACTCCCATGATGATTGGAGAGTACCGTGCAGGGCGGGCCAGAAATGCCAATGGAATGGCCACCCCCTTGGGAATGCAGACGCCTATGGGTATGAGTGGCGCGCAGACACCTATTGGAGGTATGGCGACGCCCTCTGGTATCCAGACGCCGAGCGGTACTAGTGGGATGCAGAGTAGTATCAACGATTTGGCACAGGCAAAAAAGGGAGGTCTGGCGCTGAAATTGGCCACAATGGAAGGCAAAGTATCAAACGTTGCGCGAGCTGACATAGGCGGAATCCTAACGGATTTGCAAGCAGCGAATCCAACTGGCATAGGCTCAGCGGATATTAACGACATTAATAAGGTACCACATCAGCTCTTTGCTCGATCTTCATCATCATGCTCCTTTAATTCATCACGACTTCATCTTAAAGTATTGAAGTATCTTATGTGTTTGTCAGTCGAAAACAAGTGACGACTTACGTTGTAGACAGGTTGTACTGGGACACCTACTCGCAGATGAAAATGAATGACGCGGGGGCAAGTTCCCTACAACCTCTACTGACACGTCTTTAATCACCACAGACCCGATCCCTGATGAATAGTGTTACGCAAAGTAACCCGAAGCATCCGCCAGGCTGGATCGCTGCTGCCCGAGTAGAAGAGTTAGCCGGTAGGGAGGTAGCCGCTCGAGAGATGATCGTTCAGGGCGTCAAAAACTGCCCTAATAGTGAAGACGTGTGGCTCGAGGCATCTCGCTTAGAATTGAAAACAAGCAGAGAAGCAGCCAAGAGTGTCATCGCGCAAGGTACGCATCATTTTCATAGTCTTGAAAAGCTAGAGTTGAATCGTCCTTCTAGGCACCTTTTTATACACTGACTTGAATACTAGTTTGATTTTTTGTCCATAGCAAACTGCGACGCTTCTTCTTGTATTTTTGCAATCAAATAAAATCCAACCCAGGTGTGAAGCAAAACCAGCACTCTGTGCGTTTGTGGATGGAAGCGGCGAATTTAGAGCAGGACAGAACGATAAAGTCCAAAGTTTTGCGGAAGGCCTTGGATTTTATCCCTAATAGTGTGCAGCTTTGGAAAGAGGCCGTCGCATTAGAGGACGAGACAAACGCGAAGATCTTGTTGCTTCGCGCGGTCCAGTGTGTGCCCAACAGCGAAGAGATGTGGCTCGCCTTATCAAAACTCTGTCCGTTCAAGGAAGCCCAGAGTGTACTCAACGAGGCACGTAAGAAGATCCCGACCTCACCGCTTATTTGGGTCAACGCAGCGAGGTTGCAGGAACGAGGTACAACCTACACTGTAAAAGTAGACTGATCTTGTTGAGCTTAAGGTTTGATGAAGATTTATTAGAATTACAAGGATGTTAATCAGCAAACACCAGTACTAAATTTAAATATTTATATATATTATAAATATAGGTTTGTTTGTTTGTTTGTTTTGGTGCGCTCCGGGCGACGCGTACGATCTCGCCGGGTTTCTTTGTGCTCTGTGTGTGTTGTGCTATGGTCGTCATTGCGATCGGCTAAGACTATGGCACGTCTGGTCGCCACAGTCTCCGCCAGCTACGGCTTTCGTGGCATGCCGGGCGAGGTGTGCTGCAGGCGGCGGCGACTGCGCGTAGGTAGCGCCTGGCGGTGAGGCGCGGCCGGGTTTGGTTGACGTTTTTACGGCCTGCGTGCTCTGTTCTTCGCGTTCTCGTTTTGCTTTTGTCTTCGTTCTCTTTGTCTTCGCGTGCTACCTCTCTGTCTCCTCCTTGCTCGTTCTTTGTTCGCCGCCACCTATCTCGGCCCCCGTCCTATCGTAGCGGGTAGAGATGGGTAGTACATTTAGATATAGGTAGTACATCAAAATCGATCATCTTCATCAATTATACCGAGTGATGTTGTCGTCAATCACTTTGGGTCAGCACGACCACAACTTGACGTTGTATTTAAACAAACACAGGTGCCGCTCTCGGTGGTGTCGACGTCGAGAAGCTGTTTCCTCGTGCGATTGAGAACTTGAAAGCGAACGGTGTGCATATGGACCGCGACATGTGGGTGAAGCATGCCGAGGAAGCGGAAAAATCGAAGTATCCAAAAACTTGCGCTGCTATCATCAACGCGACGATCACCTTGGGCATCGAGCGCATGGTGGACCACGATCCCAAGGGCCTGAAGCGAATATGGCTCCAAGACATCCAAACTTTGGAGAGCAAGAACAGTATTGGAACTGCGCGAGCGATCTTCGAAGCAGCAGTAAAAATTCTGCCGACAAAAAAGGGAATATGGCGAAGATACGGAGAATTAGAAGCGAAGTACGGGACACGAGATAGTCTAGATGCGGTTCTGGCACGGGCTTGTATCCAGTGTCCCGGAGCTGAGGTTCTCTACCTCATGCGAGCGAAACACAAGTGGCTCGCAGGAAACATTCAAGAAGCGAGACAGGTACAGACGATTCTACAGCTAGGTACTTTTCGAAGAGAAATCGACATTACAATCGCATTCCTGAGGAGTAAACATGACCTTGTAGTGCTTCAAAAATGATTTTTCTGCTCGTTTTCTCAAGTAGTACCTATCGACTATTTCTCCGAGTAAAGGTAAACCAAACCTCGTCTATGCTGGAACTCTTCCATTCCCTATCTCTGTAGGTTCTTGCCAGCGCCGACAAGCACCTCGCGGGCTCAGAAGCCATCGCACTTGCTGCTGCTAAGCTCGAGACCGAGAGTGGCGAGACCCAGCGCGCCAGACTGCTGCTTCAGCGCGCACGCCTCTCCGTAGAAACTAGCAAGATCTGGCAGCAGTCCGTTCAACTAGAGCGAGAAGACATGTCCTACACACAAGCGAAGGAACTCTGTCGAAAAGCCTTACAGCGCTTCCCCAAATCCGCAAAATTGTGGATGATCGCAGGGCAGTTGATACTAGAAGACCCGCACAAAACGAGGGGGGAAGACGAAGAGGCAACGAAAATGTTCGAACGCGGAACGATAGAATGCCCCAAAAGCGTAGATTTGTGGCTGTGTTGCATCAATAGTGAAATGCGACAGCAGCGGTATCCTAAGGCGCGTGCTTTGTTGGAGAAAGCGAGATTGCGAAATCCAAAAGCAGAGCTCCTATGGTACAAGGCAGTCGAAGTCGAAGAACTCGATGGAAATGACAAGATGGCGCAACACACGATCAATAAAGGTACATCTTTCTTCATCCAGTTGTTGATGAGTATTTACTTTCATATTACTGTTGAACTTGCTTCTTATTCTTGCCTGTTTTGTTGCAGATTGGTAGTGTTTGTTGAACTTGAATGTGCATCATGGTCGTTTTGATTGATGTGATCTACTCTTCAACATTCATCTGATTTTTCACTGTTAACAGGTCTCCAGGAGTGCCCGAATAGCGGGATTCTTTGGTCCAAGGCTATTGCGATGGAGCCCAAAACTAGTCAGAACGCCAAGAGTGTGGATGCTTTGAAGCACTGCGAAAACGACAGCTATGTCCAGATGGCTGTGGCCCAGCTGTTTTGGAACGACCGGAAGATCGCAAAAGCCCGTAAGTGGTTGCAACGAGCTACCAGCTTGAACCCGAAGTTAGGCGATTGTTGGGGAATGGCGCTAGCCTTTGAGCTCGAGAATGGCTCGCTCCACGAGCAGCGTGAGATCATCTTCAAGTGCGCCGATGCAGATCCAAATAAGGGTCTGCACTGGCCAGGCGTTGCTAAGCTGCGGGACAACTGGCGCAAGAAACCAGCAGAAAAACTGCGAGAGTACGTGAAAGCAGTGTGGATGGAGCAGTGGAACACGGCGGAAGGCACGCTAGAACCAGAAATCCTCCAACTACTCCAGGGAAAGACGCGAGAAGTAGCAAGAGAAGCAACGAAAAACAAGCTGGAGGCACGGAAACGCGACGAAATCGAGCGGGAAGAAAGAAGGTACACTTTTGAAACCCCGTTCATCGCTGCGACAACCTTCACTGGAGAAAAGCCAGGATACTGCTTCAAACTCGGGGTCAAGGGCCTTGGATACTACGAAGACATAGGTTTGGAAATGAAGAAGAAAAGAACTGCAGCAAGTGCAGCATCCACGTCTGTGCCCGATAGCGCGAGAACCGCGAATGGAAACGGCCGTGCTTGTGCTTCATCTGAAGACAGAAAGCGGTAGAAGATGGTCGGACCCTGCACTTCCGCGACAGCTTCGCCTGGCTTTTCCTGTGGCTTTGAATTTGGGAATGGAAGCGAGGACGCGTCATGCTCTACTTCTTCACAATCATGACCAATATTGCCACATACACATATGATGTGTCGCCCACACAGAGTCTAGCTTTCGTCTAGTTGTACAGAGTGATAGACTGCTAGGGACACGAATCAAAAATGAATGAATAGATACTATGTTCTAACGTCCTCTCGTAAAAGCAGAACAACGTTGACCATGATGAGTATTGAAGACTGGATTTGAAACGTTTGCCCATCACGAAAAAATTCAATCGAATAATTGAGATCATAGTACCCGCCCACATAGACCCCAGAAACGAGACGCGGTGTCTCCAAACACCGCCCATGAGCCCTGTAGTTCACAAAAGGTCGCATCATCTATTTTCTAGTAAGTATCCATGTGTTTTTTCATGATCGCTCAACGATCGGATCCATAACCGAGTACTAGTGTGCATTGCGCTCTAGCACTATCGGTTTCCCGGGAGCCCTTTTTTTCTCTCCTCTGGCTGTAGTATTCGTGAGAATACGGGACTCGAGAAGTTTACCAAAAGATTGTTGTTTTTTGTCGAGAATCGGTTTTCGGGATCGTTGGTCAATGAGTTCTATTTTGTTTTTCCGGTGTCGGTTTATCTTTGTAGTGTGTCTCGACGTCGGTCTCGGTATCGTTTTCGCAAATAAATGGGAGAAATATTTGTTCCGTTTTCGGATTCGCTTTGTTTTCCTGGTACTTTCTACTAAAGTACGGTCTCCCGAGCAGTGCGTGTCTTAGTCTTGATTGATCGTTTTTCCTTTTCCAACCCACATCAAATCAAATCCTTCATTTTTCCCCTCGCAGTTTCGTCATATGTTCACCCGTCGTTTAGTCTAGGAGCTCAACTTAGACTGCATCAACCTCAGCATCTTCGAGTATTTTTCAGCAGATAGATTCTCGACGAAATCCACATCAAGCATACCTAGTAAGAATTCGTGAAGTTGAAGTTGAACTACGACCACTAGTCATTTCAAAAATTGCTTCACTCTCATCCTCATCGATCTTCTTCAAAAAGATACGACAACACTTAGAGAAACGCTACAAGGTCATTTCCCTCACTATATCGACCTCACGTGATCATTTTCATTTTGTGTTAACAGAACTAGAGATTTACTCGTGCCTCCACCTCAGCTGCGTGGTTATCTTCTAAGTGATTCCAGACTCTACTTCCATTTCCGGATAATCCCACCATTGGCTGAATGATATGCATTCTTGGTTGATTTTTCTTGTTGGCGTCGCAGTTGTGCTATCCTCCAATTTAGGCAGCAGGAGGAACTGCGGACCCTTCGCGCAGAAAAGCAGGTGCGTGAAACACAGATGAGTGGCGCTGTGAGTACCTCATCATCCTTATCGGACCATCACGCGATCGGTTCACCTTCAGCAAGTATGAACGGAGGAGGGGCTGGAAACATGCCGCTATCAAATACGAGTACAGCAAGCAGTGGGGATGGCACCAAAAACATGAAGAGTAGCTAGGGGCGGAACAGTATTGCTGACATGAAACTGAGAGACGACACCTGGATGGACGTACCCATCATAGTGAGCTGTAGGACTTTCGATGTGCGCATGAGGACAGTAGAGGAGAGACCGAACGAGGCAAGAGGTCTGGGCTTTAAACCTCGATGCGGAATTTTTCTGGTGGTGGTGGGGTTTCATGACCATAATTTGGTGGCTGCTCCTGCTGTACAAAAGTTGATTAATTTCAGCACCATAGGCTGAAGAAAGTGTTGGGTTTGAGAATATAGTCGTAATGGAGGTCTATGCAGCAAGAGCACTAGACTAGGGTTTCTTGGTTATTTAGGAATCATACTCGATGTCACAAGTTGTAGTAGTTGGGATAATTCATAACTTGCTGCAGATCCTCCCCTCACTCTGGTGACGTTAACATGGTTATCGGTGACTGCATTTAGATGCGAAGAACGATATAAACCGATGTCATTGAGTAGGAAAGCTAGGGCCTAACTTATTCATAGACTGTTTTTCCCATTATTGCATAGAAGCAATGAGGATTAATAATGTCTGAGTCCGTTATGCTTGAAGCGGAAGGCCAGACTCCTTTTTCCTTGATGTAAGTATGTCGAACCCCTGATACCTACTTACAAAAACATATTCTTCTACACCCAACATATTTTATTTCGACGTGTGTGTGTCATAAACTTGAACATGTTGTATCCACTTAATACTGCTACTTGGGAGGCAAAAGTGTAGTTTCTATTTCACTGAAGCACAGAAAATACAAATTTAGTGACAACAAAATTTTGATTTTTTCGTATCTTATTCGATCGAGTTCAGTTGTAGAAGTAGATGTAGACGTGATAATCATCAGTATACTAGCAGGGTTTATCCACCTGTACTTATCTCCTGAGGGAATCTCAGGTGGTGGGGGCTCTTCAACTCTTAATCCCCGTCCAGTCGCCGTGCCCGCAGCAGCTGTTCGCACACTCTCGGACGCTCACTCCATCTTGCTCTAAATTTCGCCCCTTTGCCACCTGGTGCATCTTTGTGTATTTTTGGAAAACCTAGTACGCGAGCAGCTACATCACGACTTTCATTTCGCCTCAGTCGCAGCAACATTGCCTCAGCTCCATTCTTACCAGCAATGCGAAGAGATAGAGTCCCTGCAGCTATTCAGAATTTCCTTTAGGTTTTAATTTTAAATGAGTCGATCTATTGTTATTCTACAACAACTCGATATATTGAAATATGGTGATTCTACAACGACAAGATACGGAGTCTTCACTAAGAATTCACATCACTCACATGACGGATGTCAATCAATGCGCCTATCGGGAAAAGACCAATATGTTGATAATGCCTATCTGCTCCATACTACACTGGAAACCACAACATGATTCAGTTTCAGAAGCGTGCCTCGAATCGCCGAGCCTGAGCTACTGCAAGTTTTGCAGTTTGTGCTCCTGATAATCCACTGGAATGCTTTATAAGCGCAAATTGAAAGTAGTACACTCGACGAGGAAAGGAGCTTATACCAAGACTAGTGGTTTGTTCATAAGTACGAGTATGCTGTACAACGTCTTAAACTTAATCTACTCACGATAGAGTGAAGAGAAACTGAATGATCTTTCGCTACTTGATATGTATCTATCAAAAATCTCTATCTCATGAATACTTGCTGTTGCTGGTGCTGCAAGGATGAACCTAGACGAGCTGCAGCTCTCACCGACGAAGAGTAATATTTATTACTCTTTACTAGTGCTAGTCTTCTACTCGGAATTAATATCACAGATCGAGGACGAGGGCGGGATAAAGATACTTAATCAGAATTGTCATGCTTGCTTCTCCGTCCGACGAGGCTGTACGCGCACAGCCGCTCCTCGAAACGCTTCGCGATGAGCGCCCGTCGCCCGCATCGAAAAATGCTGCCGGCTTATCTGCAACTGCTGCTTCCCGTAAGCGCCTGCTCGACTGCTTGTATCTCTTGGCTATGTTATGGCAAGAGCAGATGAGCTACCTATTTACTTCGTGGAGGTTCTCCTCTATCTCTATTATCAAAATTTCAATTCAATCAAGAGCATGTTACTTTTTTTGAACTTCTTCATACATCAAGTTGGCGTTACGAGTGTTATACCTACGGAAATCCCCTAAATATTATGGATCCTGTCCTCAAGTGTTACACTCTCTCCTAAGAAGAGGTCTGGTTGGCCTCACAAGCAACGTGGTTTGTAGCCTGATTGCACCGATTTTGCCGGATGAGTACTTGAGACTTGGGATCGATGTCTCGTGGGTCGGTTCGGTTTTTGCCGTGTATTCCGTAGCCGTCCTTATCTTTACGCCAATCATAAGTGCAGTAACGTCATCCACCTCAGTGTCAAGCTCATCAAATACGAATTCGAATGCCGCTACCGACGACGCAGTTCCAGCAGCGCTTGCGGTGGACGTCGAGAAGCACGCAGGTCTAGAGAGGAACGCAGAAATAAAAGATGCAGGACAAATGAACCAAGCTGAGAAAATAGCGTCCCAACTTGTAGAAAAATCGTGCTTCCAGAGGCGTGTGCGCGTCCTACTATTTGGGCTGCTGATGCAGGGTGTCGCCGCTAGCTTATTCGGCCTCGCACCGGATTTTGTACCTGAGAACCCAGGTGCAATCCTAGCGATTCATCTGGTCACAAGAACATGCGGAGGTAATCGTCGATATACTAGTGGTTCTAGAATCTTCATTCATGGTAATCTCAAACAAAAGCTGCACCTTCTGCACCTCCCATACAGGACATATTTCATGCAACAACTCGTACCTTGGTACAACCTTAACCTTTCTCTAATCTCTTTCTGCACCTTCGTTCATCTTCATCACTCAGGTATCGGGCAAGCGCTATCGAACCTGGCAGTTTTTAGCATGGTTGCTGATCGCTTCGTACACGATCTAGGATTTGTTATGGGATTGAATGAGGTTGTCATTGGCGTCGGATTTTCGGCCGGTCCACCGATTGGATCTTGGCTAGAGCTACTCGGCAATTCCTTCGCGTGTCCGTTTCTTTAAGACTTTCCACATTACGTCCTCCACTCACATCCTCGACCTTTTTTCGACTGGAAAATAGGCGCAGAATACTCTGAAGACTGTAATGCTGTAACCTAGAATTTCTAGTTAGCGGCAGCATGATCCTTTCTATCACCATGCCAGTGGTAGTCCTGCTGTGGTCCTTCGAGCTCAAAAATTTCCTCATTGAAAATGCTCTTATTGAGAACAAACAAGAACATACCAGCAGTAGTAAAAGAAGCAGTAGCAGAAGCAAAAATATGACCACAACATCACGATCAGCGTCTCCGGCATCATCAAAAGCTAAGACACTCTCTGAGAAAGTAGAGGGAATGAAGGCGACAACGAGCAACGAAAGTACTCAGCAGGTGCTCTTGAGTCCGACATCAATTGGTGCACAGCTCACCCCAAGTATCAGGAGTCCTACCTCGAAAACAAATCAAGATCAAGAAGCATATCCTGAAGAAACGGAAGAGGGAAGAAGCGTGAATCTCTTCCAGCTGCTCTCATATACGTCCATCATGGTGCCTTCCGGGTTCTTGTTTTTTGGGACCTTCGTTTTTGGTCTTGTTGAGCCGATCTATGCGATTCATGCCAGAAAGTTCTTACACCTCGATATTGTCACAATAGGCTACATGTATTGTGCTCTTTCCGTCTCCTATAGCGTATTCGGCGTGCCCGCGGGCGCTATTGCGGACCGACAATCCCAATACCTTCCTGTTCTGAAAATCGGCGCGCTCATTTCTGGAATTGCCTTGTTGCTCTTCGGCGACTACTATGATCTTTTGGGCCTTAACATTGGAACAGAGGGAGTTGCACAGCAAGTAGGAAGCACAATGCCGGAGGTAGATACTTACATCCATTCGATGTCTCCTGTAGAAACGATACATGAGGATAAACTCGCTGGGTCTAGTAAAGAGGCTTGTCAACGATGATCGTTTCTGTAGTTCACATCCGCGATCATGGCTAGTCGTGTGCCAGATCCTTGCATGAGCAGTAGAACGCTTTGTGACTACAAACTCTCCGCTGGTTCCAGGTTGAGTTTGAAGCTGCGATTATGCTTCTTCTCGGAGTGGGACAAGCCGCCCTCTTAGTGCCGACGCTGCCAGCGATGAAACAAGGAGCAGGAGAAGCGAAAAAGAAGTTCCTCCAGGACACAGGACGGTCAGTTAAGGCTACCGCAAATGCATCCTCATCATGTACAACTCCTTGCTTGATCGCCTACAGCCCGGAAGTACTTGTTCTTGTAGGTCTTGACTACGTAGATCAAATCTATTTATTTCCTTTTGAGGGAAAGGCGAACAAGGGAATGGCGGGAAAAACAAGAGGCGAACAAGTAGGATGGCACCCATGATGTTTTCCTCTATGATGAAGGAAAACCGACCTCCAAGGATGCACTGTAGTACTTCTAGCTCTAAGTCAATCAGCATAGCAACAGACACCGTTGTTGCTCTGTTCAATATGTTTCAGCAGTTGGGCCTCATTGTAGGGCCGCTGGCAGGTGCCTACCTTCGGGAAGCCATTGGCTTCGCACACACAATGCGGCTTGGAGGCAGTGCCGTACTCCTCTACCTCATCCTTGCGCAATTTATTCCTGCCTAAGTGAAGATAGCATTAGTAGTACAGATGCCTATGGCGCTATGAAGACTAGGGTTCTTCGAGTAAGATAGATATAGATTCGGCGTGAGAAGCATATATGAGCATGGACGCTGCATTTGGCAGAATTATAGATAAAAATGGCGGTCAGAAGTACGACCACTAGCTCCTGGCGACCAATAGGAAATTTTCAAATTTAGAGTTGGTCATGTTGCTGCCCTCCACAGTGCCCTGTACAGTGTTTCCACTTTCTGCTCAATTACACACTTTTCAGAACATAATACCAACACAAACTACTACTACATCGCCGGCCCACATATTAGATTTTGATCACCCTAGGAAATGTCTCATCTCGTCGGCATTTCTACTGTAGAGATGTAGTGACGATGACGATGAAGCCAGCACATTTCCACACCGGATCATGTGTTGGCATGGGGAGATACAAGCTGTAGCTTTTCATACAGAAAATGAACGACAAAGGGAAAGGATTCCTCTTAAATACGTTGAATGCCACGATAAGGCTCTTCAGTAGAAGAAAACATCCAGATCCATGTGACATCTAAAACTGAAAATGTATAGACGATAGTAGACCTTAGCAGGTGAATCATAATGGATAAATAGGTGGTGTACCAGTCTAGAGATGCTTGACTGCACTCCAGGCGCAAAACCTATCTTCTAGATTTTTTGAAAGCCAGACGACTCGGAAAATATGCTTGGGAATAAGGGGGATAATGATCCTTGTTATAAATTTGTAGTTTTAGGTTGTTGTGTAGAGTTTTCGACTTTCTAACCACATTGTTATTTCATGTTGAAGGGTATGAGTATGTAGAAGATCATCGTGGTACCTCCATTTGATGTTTTTTTGGTGTCGTTGGTCATACGACAGAACTGCAGGTGGGAGCAGAAAATATGTGTATATATGTCATAAAATAAGATTGTTACTCGTCGTGAAAAGAATATTTTGCATTCCAACACGTAGCGAGAGATGCTCATTGCTTCGTAGATGAGCCGAATCCTATCCTATCCCATGAAAATAATGAACCCTTGTCCCTTAGAGTTAGACCACATCACATTCACAGTCACAGTAGTACTTCTAGTAGGTCGTTCTCATAATTCTTGTTGTTTTACCCAACGCCAAGAAAGCTGCAAGTCTTCCTCGATTACACCGATTGGGCAAAATGGATGAAAAGACAAGAATTACTCCTGTTCGACAGAGGTTGCGGTCACCGGTAGCCATCAGCATGATGCGCTTTCTAGGAATGTGTGGCTATGTTCATGTTGGATGCGTAGATCCTTTTCGGTGCCGTTCTCTCTCTGTAGCAACAATATGATCTTCTATGTGTGATGTTTTTACTTGGGTTAGAGCACATGCGCGTTTCGGTCCTCGATAATTGATGCAGCATGAAAATCCGAGTCTGTGTTTCAGTAAATTGCTCGTGAATCTCACTTCTTGCAGCAAAGACCGTTCAAAAGACGTGTGTATTGTCCGTACTGCGACACTCTAAGTCTTCTTGGACTTAGCGTATGAACTGTGCTCGTTTCTGTCGTTATCTTCTTGTGGTTTTGTGCCGAAAAGCGTGATCGCCGTAAATCTAAATACCTAAAATGAAAATATTGATCATCTTGATGGACTTGAACATGAGCTACTTACCTGTAACTAGCAACTGAAGCTGCGATACTTGTGTTTACCCTTCCTGGTATCTCTCAAAAAACGTCGCTACCGCTAGATACATCGTCAGTTCATCTTTTCAAACTGATTGAGCCTAGCCACTCCTGGTGCCATGACGTGTTGATAGAAAAAATCTCCTCGAGAAACTAGTAGGGTTTCTTGCGCCTGATTTCTAGGTGAGCCATATGTTTCTTATCTCTGTTTATCGTATGTTTGGCCATGATTTCTCTCTATTCAAGTACTATGATATGTCATTAAGTAGCGAAGAAGGGATCCGTCGCTTTGTCGGAAGATCAAGTAGTACCCATCGTGAAAGTCCCCGAATCAACCCGAAGATTGAAATGATACAGAAGGAAAGGAACTGGAACTGGTTCGAACAAAACCCCGAAGCCCCAGGAAGTCGCAGGTTTTAGATGATAAGTAAGAAAAAGCAACTCATGTACATCAACACCAGAGACACAATTGAGCTTATTTGCGACCTGACCAAGCATTTCCGTTTTTTTTTCAGATAACTTAACGACGTCCTACACAGGCGGCAAAACCCTTTCCCTTGTAGCGTCCTCCTTGGGGTGATCTGCTGAAGTGGTGTTGTCACCTTGTGTGCCGGCGAAGCCGAGGCATCCTATCCTATCCTATCCTATAAGTTTTTGCAACATGATTCATATGGCGTTGAAGAGCGGTTTCGTTCAATTTGATTCTTCTGTTTAGCGACCACATTCACTTTCACAATTCACATGGAACAAGAATATATAATTAAAATCGACGTAGATAAAACAAGCAAAAAATGGGAGGGTCCTCATCATCTCCTGCACAGAAGGGGGCTTCCTCAAGTCGTGGAAAGACTGGTGGACCGGGCGGACTTAGCGGCGCGACAAGTAGATCTTCCCCTATGAAGACTAAGACTTCTGCTGCCACTGCTCCAGCTACGAAAAAAATGAACGGGCTGCGGCATCTGAAGAAAGCGTCGAACTCGAAGAGACCCACTTCCAGCAGCAAGGTCGTGCGAAGAAAGACGACGAACTCGAACGCCATGACAATCCAGGTTCGGAAACAAGTGAAGAAGAGTTCCGAGAAAAAGAAAAAAACCGCAAGTATGAAGTCGAAAGCTCCTGGGCCCGTGACTAGAAGTGATCGCTCTAGTATGAGTACTAGCAGGAAGAAAAAGAAACCAGTCAATAAACTGCCAGATAAGAAAGTACAACCTTCATCAGCCCTTAAGAGAAAGTCGGACCTTCATAAAGTAAAAGTTTCCAAAGGTCCAGCTCCAGCGGCCCGCGGGGGCCTACTACGCGCGACAGCATCGGGTAAAGTGCCAGGCTTCAGTGAAGCTGAGGAAGGACAATGGAAAGGCCCGTTTTTCTTCGTCCAAATGGCTGATACGCAGGTAAGTACTTGCTTTTAGGATTAGAAGGCCAGCTCATATTTGTAAATATCCCACTTCTGTCAGGTTACTGCTTGTTGTTACGGTTTTCTTTTCTTGTTCCGCAGACGACTCATCACAAGCACAATACGAATTTTCACAACCGTTTGCACTGATTTTTTTTGAATTTTCCAGCTGGGCATGACTGACACTCTTGCGCCAAAGAAACTCGTGGCCGAAGGCTATAACCGAAAGCAATTGTTCGAAGCCGAGCTGGATTTACGGCTCTGAATCTGAAGTGGATCTTGATGTAGCACTCGATATAGATTTATTCTGTGACAGTGCTGGTCCTGCTGACCTCTGCCTCTAACCCGTTGCTTTTTCTTGTTTTGATGTCTTTGCATGTCCATCGCTACTAACTAGTGGAAAAGCTCTACTAGTTTTTATTGTTGGTCGAAGCTGCTTCTCGTCTAATCGAAATGCTGCGTTGCGCAGTGAAGACCATAAATCGGATCCAGCCTGCATTCGTGCTTCTGTGTGGTGACATAGTGAACGCTTACCCCAGTTCCGCGCTACCCCCACATCTTTTGAAGCCGACCCCCTCAATTCCAAGCTCTGCACCACCACCGACAAGTATTTTCTCGTCTTCTAGCACCAAGGATAGGAAGCAAGAAATGGAAAAAGCAGTGCGCGAAGCGGAAAAGGCTGCACTCGCCGTTAGTTCTCCTAGTTCCACCAAAAGCGCGGCTGCCGTTGCATCGAATTCCACCCGCGACTCATCCACCAGCATGAACGCCATCATAGAAGGAGCTCGGAAGAAGCGGCAAGAACAGATCGATGCTTGCCAGGAAGTGATGACGGAAATTGATTCAAGGATACCACTCCTTTTTAAGGCACCATGGATACTCGCAGTCGATAATCTACTGATATTCGATTATAACACAGGCTCTCCGACGAGATAAGTAGCACTAGCTGGAAGCTTCATTGGGACGAAGAACCCATACGCAAAAGATGATAGATATTTTCAGTTGAGGGGTAGGCATTATGGCCATGAATGATACGAGGCAAAGACGTACTTAGAGGAAAGAATGCACACCAATGATGAGCTCGAATTGTCGTTGTTGCGGTAATCACGACATGGGCGACCGACCGAATTTCACGTCGGTGAAAGAGTACCGGAAAACATGGGGCCACGACTATTTCTCGTTCTGGGTGAAGGGGGTGTATTGCCTGGTATTGAACTCCCAACTGTTCAAAACACCGGAGTTGATTCAAAACGAGAAAAAGAAGCAGGATAAATGGGTACCTACTTCAATTGCTTAAGTAGAAGATTTTTAGTCTATTTACACATCTGTTTAATTATTTCGTAATTTTTTCGTCTGGCTACGACAGGAGGGACAGTCGCTGTATTTGCTGCACTAGTCGAGTTTCTATCAATACAAAAGACCGGATGACGAATTGCATCGATACAATTGTATACTACTATGTATATTGCTTCATCTCTCTTAGTACTAACTAGGTAAGTTGCTCACGAAGAGGAAGGAGCCCTTCAAGATTTTGTTTGATTCAATCTAGTAGAACAAGTACTACGTGGAAGCCCACAATAGAACAACCCACAACTACATCAACTTGTTTCACAGCTCGCTGCGTGTCTGAGCGAACGCAGAGGGAAACCTGCCAAAAGCATGGTTTGCTTTACACACATAAGTCCCTTTATTAAGAACCAAGACGAGCCAAGCGGATACTTCAACTGGAATCAGTCTGATCGTGCGGAGACGCTTGCAGCTCTCGCGTCAGTTGGGTGCCGTGCAATATTTTCGGGCCACTACCACAGAAACGCGGTAGCAACTTTTGTTGCTTCAGCACCTGCTGCCTCGTCGTCATCTTCAACAGGAGAACAGAGACGGACCATGGAAGTGGTCACGACTGGAGCGGTAGGAGTGAATCTGCTGACCGAACCAGGTGGCGACCCACTAGTTAAGGCTGGTTGACGAGCTGCTTTCTGTAATTTTTCTTCATCAAAAATATTTCGTGGACTACAGAAGTACTGGGACCAAGAAGATCGCTCTGAAAATTGTGTAGTCAGTGAGCATCGCCATCACTAACACATCGACAGTCGTACCTGTACGATTGTAGCAAAATATTACGTTCCTTCTTCACTAACCACTTGCTTCCACATCCACTTGTACTTGATTATCTACCGCTATCCGAAGCTCCCGCTAATATATGCTTGACTGGCGTCGGAGAAGGCGTGCTTGACAAAGAGTCCTGTGGCTTTCGCCTAGTGAAATTCGACGACGAGGGAAACGTGTCGCATGACTGGAAGACATTCATAGAGCTGGAAGGTGTGACCGACGTTGCTTTACTTTGAAGTGGTATTGCATGCCGCTAATGAATTTGAGCAGTACCAGAAGTACAAGTACTAGAATCTTTTGCAAAAGCAAAAATACCGACTTGGACTTGGCCATCGGATTCTTTTTTTATCTTACCTTCTTGATAATTCGCACAACTACAACCAGCATATAACGTCCTTATACAAAGACCACTTTGACTTTTCGCGTGGTCTCGTAACCCCCTCTTGGCTTTGGAAAGATTGGAGTCGAACTCCATTTCTGGAACTACAATTACCTTCTTAATATATCATCTTGCTTTTAGATGCCCATATGCGCCTTCAGCTCAAGTTAAAAATGTACCTCTGCCTTTGCACTGTAAAAATGTAAGTGATCAAGTTATTTTGCGTTTTTTACTGCGTGCCCGTGGCTTACGATTTTGGAACAAGTGACTCAATGATTCCTCGTGTATACCTTTCCGCGGACTTGGAGTCGAGAGCATGTTTTGCTGCATCATGACCACCAGTTTTATTGTGTAGTGCATTAGACCTCCCACATCCAGGTCCAGGAGGTGGAGGAGCGAACATGATGTTGACTGAGCACGAGAAGCAAGTAGAATATATAATGCGATTCTCCGTAACTTTATCATGTACGTTTGTTGATTAGGTGGATTCCTATTGGCATTATTTACAACTACCTTTTTTGTAGTTCTTGTATCCAGCAACACATTCTGCTCCGAGCTAAGCTGCACTTAAGCATCATTTCCTTCTTTCTGTGTTTGCATGTTTCGTTTGTGTCCTGATTTACAATTACATTACCTAGCGACAGTTAGGATCATTCTTATGAAGATAGAAAATTTTTTATTAGGATCTTCATGGAGCAGGAGGAAGAGGATCTTCTTCTTGTTCATCTTGCTTCACACTAATGATGTTGACAATGTACTTTACATTGTTTTTCAAGTTCAACAGACTACTGCTGTAATCTTGAACGAAGTACTAGCTACTAGTAGTTGCTCCACTCTACCATCCTCAAGGTCTGACTGGGCGTTCAACAGTGCTACAAAGATAGCATGTTGATGCTTATGAAAGGGAAATAAAGGCATATTCATTAATACATCAAATAACAAATACTGGCTCTGGCACGGATCGATATTTTATCGATGATTCTTTGCTTCTTACGCCACGAAAGCTAATGTGCCCTCGAGTCGACTAGTGAAACCAAGCCACGCCGTTCGTTGCAGTTTTGATTTTGTTCTGGAGTCGTGTCCTGTCGCGTTGTGGAGAAAAATAGGAGTTTGCAACCTTTTCGTGTGGGCAGGCATCCGTCACGTGACGATGTTTATCTCTCCTCAAACAAGAATCGTACAAGAACTGAAGTGTCTGGTGTGCCTCCAGATGCACAGCTTGTGTGGAAAGTAATGCTACTGAAATTTTTGCTGCGTCCTTGAGGGCACGAGCAACGAGCATGCGATCTCATGAAGCACGTTGTAGACGGAAGTAGTGGCGTAGTGGTCTGCTATACCTCTAGAATGGGTACATTCATTCACTCACCCGACGAATGGACCGACATCGGAGGTGATCAACGTCAAATACAACAATTTAAATTTTTCCTAGTGAGTTTGTTCATACCATTGCAGGAACATTAATGCTACTTAGTTTAATAGCTTATTACCAGTGTGATCCTTCTATATTAAAAAATCTGAAGAACAACAACAACGACGGCGCCCGACCTTTGATAGAATCCATAGATGAAGCTCAACGCGGCTAAGATCTGGTGGCTGGTGTTTGTAGATGGTGGAGGAGTGAGTCTGGTCGCTGCTGCTGGCCCATCGTCTGGCGGACCTTTTCTCTCTAATGCGCATGAGATGGGTTCTCTTGTTGCTCTCACAACATCAAGCACTACCACAAATCATGAAACCCAGAGCAAGGACACTCTTTTCTCTGGGACACCACGTTGCAATCATCCACACCATATTGGCGGGCAACATCGACGTCCGAGCAGTGGCAAGCGACGCGCCAAGAGCGAGCCGCGCCCTCGTGTTGGGAAAACGGGCAATGACTACCACAGTACAGGAACAGACAAGCAACAGCCTCATCCTCGTCTCCTGTTCTATACTGATCCTGATCATGTTATGATCTTGACCATCACGCTCACGATCACCTTTACTAGGCTTTGATCAAAATTACCATCACGATTACTATGGTCAGCTTTTGGCGTGTGACATTGTTTGACGATCACGATCTTCACCTTGTGGTGAACAATGTTTGCATACTTAGATAGAAGAAAGAATCATCAAAAGTGTGCTGACTTGCTAGATGTAGGCTCCATGATAATCAACGTATAATCTCATCCTAGTCGACGTATTCGTATCACCATTTTTTCTCCAAAGGGATAGACTTCTGCTCGACATGAAGCATTATTAATGCACACACGATCGGGATCGTAGTGTACCTGTAGACACAGAAACAGTGACTTCCTCTTCTAATGTCAGGAGTGCTGACCAAAATCAGTTACCGCAGAATCCATTTGATGACTTCAGCTACCATGAAGCGCACGCAGGTCACGAACGCACTTCGTTCGACGACGGAAGAGGCTTTGAGTTTGATTCTGATCCCCATGCTCTCGCTCGAGATCTGCGCCATCAATTTCTGTTGCAATTGTTAGATAGCCAAGCTCAAGCACCTCCACCTGCGGCAACTCCGCAGAGGAAGTTCGAACAAGAAGAAGTACAGCAAGGACTGCACCAGCGAAGGGAGGACCTGCAACAAGAACCACAGGCAGTCCAACAAAGGCCTCTGCTACTTGCTACCTCTCCTCAGCACCTAGGAGTACTACTTGGGCAGCGGCCAACAGATTCTCCTCATACTCTAGAAGTACTTGAAACTCCGGAGTATGAGGGCGATAATATTCAAGACGGCTGGCACAGCCACCACGTAATCGAACAAACTGAAACGGGGAATGCATACGAAGACTTCGATGATGCTTCGACTTCACGGGATGCTTCTCTTAGGGAAAATAAAAGAAATACCAACTATTTTCATTTTTATATAAATATATATGTTCCAGGGCTCAGGGCGGGAGGCCCCCCCCCCCCCCCCCCCCCCC